TTAAGTGAGAAGACTCTGGTCACAAGTTGAAGCCTGAAGCAGGGACAGCTAGCAATTCTCATTTAATCCCAGGTCATATTACTGAAGATAGAAAGTCCAAGCCAAAGGAGGTGAGAGACCACAGTGCCCTGTCTCAGGGTGAACAAGTTGGGGGCATGCTGACTAGCTCAGTTGGTACTGGGAACCACAACACTGGGTGGGCCCTCTGTGTCCAGAGTGATTGAGGAGGGGTTGCTGGGCAGGCAGGCAGGCAGTCACAGAGGGCTGTCCCCCGGGGCGGCGGAGGGGGATGGCTAGAGCCGAGGCCTGGAGGCTGGAATAACAGCATGGCACTGGTGATGCCTCGGAGGGGCTCAGGAGAAGGTGCAGGGCCCCTTCGGAGGCTCTCTGGAGCCGATATACAGCAAGGTGGAGAGACATGGGGGCAACGGGCCAGCTGGGCAGGAGAGGAGACGGGGGTCCCAGGAGAGATGGGAACAGAGCAGCTCCCACTGATTGAGGAATGGCCTCATGGGCGTGAGGCGCCCGCCACTGTCTCACTGAAGTGCTGGGATTCCTGCTCCACTGATAGAAAAGGAAGCCAGGCCCAGGGAGGGCAGGTCCCCTGCTAAGGGTCACACAGCAGTGAAGGGGGGGTGCTACTGCATTAGCGACCAGGCCTCTTTGACCCCAGAGGTCCTTTAGGGCGTCGTGGGGGTGCCAAGGTGGGCAGTCCCCTGACCGCTACTACCCAGGCTCCCTGCCATTGCTCGGAGCCAGGGTGCCTGTCAGATTCCGACACCTGCAGTGGACACTCAGTGCAGCGGGGGGACAGGCTTCGTGCCCCTCAGCCCCAGGTTCAGAGCAGCCAGGCCTGGGCAGCATTCTTAGGCCCTGGCCTGCCTTGCCCTGCCCACAGCCACGTGGTTGACGGGATTTCCGCCATGTTTGGCGCATGAATTGACAAGTGCCCCATTGACGGGCAGGGGGGAGGGTGTGGGCAGGGCACAAGCCACCCACTGTGCCGGGTCCCCACCCTCCCCCGTCCCCCAGGACAATGGCCGAGACTCAGCCAGCGACCACAGCTGGTGGGGAGGGGTGGGCATGAGCACGAGGAGGGGGAAAGGGAGGGTCCAGGGTGGATGACCACCTGGGCCCCCACCCGCCCTTATCCTGCACCTGGCTCATGTCCCCTCGGCGCCCTTCTGCCCAGCTGAGTGGCCTTAAAGGAAGGAGGAGAGTGGAGGGGAGGGGGCTTCCTGACCGCAGCCCCATCCCAGCCCGCCTGGGAAGGGGCCGGGTCTGGATCCTGTTAAAAGCAGGTAATAAAGGAACTGATTAATGAGAAGCAGCCGGGGTGCATGGCTCAGCGGGGCAGGGACGGTACCTGGAGGGGCCCTGTCTGGCTGTGGCCCCTGCGCACAGCATGGCCGGGCGGAGGTCCCCGGGGCCGGCAGCCTCACTTGCCACTTTGCTCACTCATTCCATGAGCGTTCATCGAGTGCCTACAACACGCAGACTTAGGTGCTTAGATCCCTGAGAGATGGAACAGGGCGGGGCTCGGTCTGGCTCCCACGTCTGCAAGCGATGGCAAAGCATGTGTCCTTTCTGAGCCTCTGTTTTCTCATCTGTAAATTGGAGAAGAGGAAAACCACTTACCCCATAGGACTGTAGCGAGAATGAAGTATGAGTCCTAGAAAGTGTGTGTCATGGCAAGTGTGTGTCGGGCACAGATGGACCATTTGGGGAGTGGGAACTGTGGGCAGTGGACAGACCTTCCACCTGCCGGGGAGCTCTGTGCCAGGCAGGAGAGAGGAGAGCCTGATGAGAAAGCAGAAAGGAGGCCACCACCCAAGAGGATGGGAGAGGCAGAGGTGGCCCCAGGGAGGACCTTACATTTAAGCCAAAACCTAAAGGACGCCTAGGAACGGGCTTTCTGGGGCATATGTACAGGCCCCGATGTTCCCGGCAGGGTGGGGCGGCGCGGGGATGTTTGTCACAGGACGGAATGAGGCAGGGGCTGGCTGGACCATGGAGAGTTCCAGGAAGGAGAGCTGGGGCAGCAGCGGAGGCTGTGGCCAGGCAGGGGGCTGACCTTGCCAGGCCTCGGACCACGGAGGGCTCTGGCTACCCCGAGCAGGGGGAAGTTGTTGAAGGGTTTGAGGAGGGGGAGGGCAGGGATGCTGGTCTGTGACCTGGTGGTACCATGTTCTGGTGCGGGACCTTGGGAAGCCACTCCACCCCCCAGGGAGGTCTTGAAGATCAGCAGGAGATGCAGTTTCCTGCTGACAGGTATCTGTTGTTGGCGCAAGGAGGCTCCAGGGCTCTCTCGGGAGCCGTGGGGGAGGGAGGCCCCCCAGAGTGTGCCCAGGGGCCCTGGCTTCCTCCGGGGTTCCTGGGGGCGCTGCCCCAGCCTCAGGAATCCCTGGGCTCCCACAGACCCCGACCCCCACCCTGTCCACCTGGAACATTTGGTTAGAAACCCACAGTGGGGTTCATGGCGCAGGCTGGGGTCACCCGCCTGGTGGCCGGACCCTTTAAGCGGGCCTCAAGGGCTCCCAGAGAAGGAGAGGATGTGGGGTCAGTGTTCGCCAGGAGGCCCACCAACCCCCAAACCTCCAACTCCTCACCCACCCCTTGGCCCACCCCCATCCTGCTCCTGTGGCTCCCTCCTCCCACCTCCGTCACCCGGCCCCTGGCACGGGAGGGTCTCTCCTCCCCCCAACCACATCTGGTTCTTGTTAGGGTCTCCCAGGATGCCTCTGCCTGAGGCCCCCCTGAGCTGGGGGAGGTGGGCAGGAGGATTAGGGGTGATTAGGAACACTCCTGGCCAGGGGAGAAGGGGGAGGGAAAGGGGGCCCTGGCCTGTTATAAATAGCAACACCATGACTCCATCACCCCATCATTCACTGTGGATTCCAAGTTCAGTCTCCAAAACCTGCAGCCTCAGCAGCCAGAGCTGCGCTGCCCCTCCTGTACCCCCTCCCTCTCCCTCTCCAGTGCTTGACCCTTCCTCAGGCATCCCTGGGGTGGCCCAGGAAGGCCTGGAGGTCTCTGTGACCACATCTTCTCTCTCATGATCAGGCCCCTGCTCCTGGATTTGACTTTGCCTTGCTGTGTTGCCTTAGGCAGGAGACTTGACCTCTCTGAACAGAGGGGATGATGCTCCTAACCCCAAGTCTCCTGGGGTGATTGGGAGGTAAACCTATAAAGCACTTAAAATAGTATAGGCCTGGCAGGCAGGCAGTCCAAATGAGCCATCATTATCACCATCATTGTCACACTGCACATGAGGAGCCTGTGGGATCCTTGTGTATAATAAGGTCCTGTGATTATTTATTATTATTTTTTGTCTCCAAAAGTGCCTGGCACATAGTAGGTGCTCAATAAATGGGACCTGTGGTTAATGGGGGGTGGGGGCCAGAGCACAGACAGGCATTTTAGAGCCTCAGCCTGCGGACTGGTCATTCCCGGCTTGAGAAGCTCTCCTTGCGCTGGCCACATGGGGCCCTGGGCGGCCATTGGCTGTGCCGGGTGGGTGTCTCCTGTTCCCGGCTGGGCGAGCCAGGGGTGGGGGCCGCAGGAGGGCCTGTCCCAGGCAGCGCGTGACTCCTAGGAGGGCTTAGCCCTCATTAATCACCTAAGCGGGGCTCAGCATTCTTGAAATGCCGGCCAGGGCCAGGGAGGGGCCCGGGCGGGGGGCTCCTGGGGACCCCGGGGCTCTAGGGACTGGGGAGTGAGGTTTGCTGAGCGCCCACTCTGTGCCAGGCACCTTACATACCTTAACTTGTTTCGTACTCAAAATGGGCCTGCAACGTATTAGTTGTTTATATCCCCATTTTACTAATGAAGAGACTGAGGCTCAGAGAGGGTGTGCCCTGCCCCGTGTCACACCACGGGGAGTAGGTGAGCCAGGGTTTGTTCCTGGACCTGTTTGAGCTCTGCTCCCGGGCTCAGCAGGGGAGGGGCAGACCCTAGACTCAGGCCCTGGGGCCTATGGGAGGGCGCCTTCTGCCTCAGTGGGGCCGGTGGCCCAGGCCAGCGGTGCGGGTGGGGCCGTCTTCCATTATCGAGGTTGACACATCTCCCACGTCAGCCCCTTTATCACCCCGCCCTCCAGCTCCCCCCGCAAGGTGACCCTGGGAGGGGAAAGGCCAGCGCCTCCCCTTCTCCTCCCCGCTGATGCCCAAGAGCACTGGGCTGCCTTTCGGTGAGTCCCTCCCTTCCGTGGGGCTAGGGCCAACGGACAGGGCCCAGGGGAGGGAGGGCAGAGGAGCAGAGCCCAGTCCGCCATCATTTCCCGGCTCGGAAGCCAGGGCAAGCCCTTACCTCTCTGGGCCTCTCACCTCTGCAAAACCAGAGCTAAGCACCCAGCCCTGCTACGACGGAGTAATGGGCACGTGCAATGAGAGTAAGCAGGGCAGGGCACTCCTGATTCTGATCCCTGCACCCTTACTGTCTGGGGCCTGGGGTGCAGGAGGCTCCCCCAGCCCACGGCCTCCTCCACCCCCCCCCCAACAGGATGTGTCGTCCAGCCCAACCAGGCCTTGTGCTCCTGGGTGCCCACAGCTGGGCCATCTGGAACTGAGTACTGAACAGGGCAGGACAGAGTCACAGAGGGCGGCGGGCATCCACTGGGCATTCGACCCAGTGAAGCACCATGTTTGCTCTTCACAGCACCCCATAAGACAGGGGGATGATCGCCCCATTTCATAGATCAGAGGAAGGACTTGCTCATGTGAGGAAGCTAGAATGGGGTACGAAGGGCAAGAAGTGGCTTTCTGTGCCAGATCTGTGCTCCGGTCCCCGCCCTCCTTGGAGACTCCAGGTGGCCTCATGGGCTGGGAGAGGCCAGTGCCTCTTTTGGGGAGGGTGTCAGGCGGTGGACGACGGATGGAGCCACAGATGGGGAGGAGGCAGCCCTGCCTGGGGAGAGTTGGAGGGGTGGGCCCAGAGGCCTTGGAGTCTCCGGGAGCTGCACCCCACACCTCCCTGAGCTCACACCTGCCCCTTGCCCGCAGGCCACGACATCAACGGTGCCCTGGAGCCCTCCAACATTGACACCAGCATCCTGGAGGAGTACATCAGCAAGGAGGATGCCTCCGACCTGTGAGTGGCCCCAGGACAGCCTCGGCCCCACCCCCAGGCCCCCTGGCCTCCACCTCCCACCTGGGAGATGTGAGGGCCCCACCACTGAAAGCAGCTCCTGGTCCTTTTCCAGCGACTGACCCCTATGCTGTGTGCCCTTAGGGTGGGGACCCAGGGAGGAGCTGGGGTCCTGGCTGGCGCTGAGCTTCCCCCGCTTCTCCACAGCTGCTTCCCTGACATCTCTGCTCCAGCCAGCGCCTCCGCCTACGCCCATGGGCAGCCAGCCATCCCCGGCTCCAGCGGGGTCCACCACCTGAGCCCCCCTGGGGGTGGACCCTCCCCGGGGCGCCACGGCCCCCACCCACCCCCGAGTTACAGCGCCCCGCTCAACTGCAACAACAACAATGGCATGGGTGCTGCTCCCAAGCCCTTCCTGGGGGGCTCTGGGCCCCCCATCAAGGCAGAGCCCAAGGCTCCCTATGCCCCAGGGTGAGTGAGGGCAGGGATCGTGGCGGGCAGGTTCGATGCAGGGCCCAGGGGCAGGCGCGGTGTAGGGCCAGTGCCCGTGGGCCTGGAGGAGCTGGCCAAGGCCAGGCAGTGGTGACTGCCTGGTGGGCAGGTAAGGTGGGGCAGGGCTAGGCCAGGCTGAGGCGGGACTCGTGGCTGTGTTCCAAGGCAGTGGGCAGCACGGAGGGCTCCGCGCAGGGGTGTGACGGGGGCTGACGGAAGCCCTAGAAACACCTCTGAGAGCCGTGTGGGGAGTGGACAGGGTGGGGTGAAACTGGAAGCCCCAGTGGTTAACGTACACGGACCATCTGCACATGTGTGCATATCCACAGGCACACAAGCCCCCTTCCTCGCGCCCGCCCTGTGCGCTCCATCACACATTCAGCCACTGTTTACTGTGGTCAGAGGGATCCGGCTAATGGTGCAGATGTGGCGCCTGATGTTTTATCCGCCACCCCTAAGCCGGCCTCCCAGGCCGTTCCCCCTACATTAGAGGAGGCCACACCAACGGCCTGTCTCATGGGCTCCGCCTGGGTCTGGCCATGACCAAAGGTTCCAGGTGGCTACCAGCCCAGCCGGCCAGGCTCCCGGGTAGCCCATGGACACATACCCATGGGGAGAGTCAGGGAACTTGGGCTCTGCAGAGGGGCTTGGAGAAATGTCTGGGCTCCCCAGCTGGGACAGGGACCCTGCCTCTGGGCGAGAGGATAGTCAAGGGCCGGGAGCATGACACAGCTCACACAGCCTGGCTTCATCAACAGCCCCACCGCTGCCAGGCCTCTGGCTTAGTAACCACCACCTTGGTCAGGGCCTCAGCGTCTTCTCTGTAAAGGGAGCCCAAAATGCTTCTCCTCCAGGTATTGTGGGAATCCAGGGAGGGAGTGCGGGGGTGTTGGGGGCGGGGCGTAGCTGTTGCCTGGCTCACAGGTCTTGGGCAGTGGAGGCGAGCCGGGGCTGGGGTGTCGAGGTTAGCTGCCAAAGGCAGATATCCGCTTGCGTACTGGAGGCAGAGAGGCCGTCCCTCAGCCACAGACCCCAAAGGGAAGGCATGAGGGAAGACCAGCTTGTAACAAGTGCCTGCTGGGTGCGCGCTGCTGCACCCCACACCTCTGTCCCAGAGGGAAGCTCGGCTGGTCCTCACAGGGGGTTCTAACGGCACACAAGGTCATTGTGCTTGAGCAGAGAGGGAAAGGGCTTGTGCACAGCTGCACAGGGATGCTGTGGCCTGGGCCTTTCACTGCCCCACCCCTGCCAGGCCCTGTTCTGTGTGGTAAACAAGACAGACACGTCCCTCCTGCCTTGGAACCTGCGGCCTAGTTGGGGAGGGAGTTTCCAGCCAATAGCTCACCATGGGGCTCATGAGCGCCCCAAGGAGTTAGGAGGAAAGAACGCGAGGTCCTGTGGACTTGGGGCATTTGATGGCAGGGGTCATCGGAGGGTGTGAAAGACCTTGACACACTAGAGAAACCCAAGGCCACTGTCAGCGAGGTGCGGGGAGCAGGCGGGAGATGACAGACGCAGAGCTAGAGAGGCCTGGTCGGCAGCGTGGGTTCAGTCCCCATCACTCAACACTTTCTCTCTTGCCCTCGCACAGCCTGGGGGATTGGGTGGAGGCTTGTCTAGGGGAGCCCGGGCACTCTGGGGTCAGCCCCAGGCTGTGTCCATCGTGGCTCGGCACAGTGGTGGGAAGTCTCTCCAGGTGTGGGGAGCAGGGATGGCCAAAGAGCTGGGTCTCCGTGAGGCCACATTCTCCCCCTCACTGGACGAGTGCTGGGTTCATGCAGGACGTGTTGACCTCTCAGGGTTGAATTTGTTCTTTTGCCTGAACCACTGATAACACAAAACCTGCAAGAAAAAAATAAACCTGGGCCCAGCCGAGCTGGCTCCCTGCCCAGTCCACACCTGCCCCCGGTGGGGCAGGCCCCCGTGGACCTGCCCAGCCCCCTAGCACCTTGCGTTTCCAGGCAGTGGGGGCTTTAGTGGGTGCAGGAAGGGAGGAGCAGGCATCGGCCCTCAGGCTGGGGAGAGAGTCCTTGAACGCCTGCGCCACCATCAGGGGCACCGGTCACTGCCCCCAAGTGCCCCATAGGTCTGAGGGGGTGCTGGGCAGGAGCCGAAGGCTCCCCCCAACAACTGCCAGGCACCCCAAGGTGACTGGGTACAGAGAAATGGCCCAAGGGTGGGAGTGAGGAGACTGATGCCTCCGGCCTCTGGGGTCTCTGGGCCCTGCCCGCCAAGCAGCTGCCCTCCCAACAGCCCCTCCCCCTCTCCTGCAGCACGCTGCCCGACTCTCCCCCAGACTCAGGCTCGGAGGCCTATTCGCCACAGCAGGTGAATGGTGAGTCCAGCGGGCACCGCCCTCCCCCTCTGGGGTTTGGGCAAGTGGTTGGGGCGGCCTTATCAGGGAGGGAGGGAGCCAGGGAGGGAGGGGGCCAGCGGCTGCCCAACAGGCCCAGATTATCACTGGTCAAATACTCCCTGGCGCTGGCTATTGTTTCCCCATGGGCGGGTGGGGAGCCGGCCCTGCCTCTGAGCAAGTGTCCCTGCCGGCGATGCCGCCCGCCTGCCCGCCTGCGCCATCATGGATGCACCCTTTGGCGGTAAGTGGATGGTCGGGGAGGCTGTGGCCGCAGCCCGGGCACAGGCCTCACCAGCTGCCAGGCCCCCTCCCCTTGGGGGGGTGCTCAGGGGTGCTGTGGCCGCCAGGTGGCCAAGAGCAGAAGGATCACGGGCAGCAGTCTCCCCACAGCCCAGAGAGGGGTCAAGAGTTCTGTTTATCTTACCAAAAACATCTCTGGAATGCCTCCTGGGGAACAAAGGGAGCTGGGCCTTCCCCCTCAGGCTGGGGGGCCGGCCCCTGGGATCCTGGGTGAGGGGCTGCTGGAGGGAGGGTGCTGCTACAGGACTGCGCTGGGGGGTCTTGGTAGACTCCTTCCCGAGGCCCAGGGAAGGATCGGGCCGGAGGGGAGCTTTGGAGAATCCGGGGATGTGGGACGTCCCCCAGGGAGCAGCTCCCCAGCCCAGCCCAGAGGCAGGAGCTGGTTAAAATGGGGTGAAAGGCTGTCCTATTCTCCTCCCACATGGGACTGGTGAGAGGGCAGCCCCCAGGCTCGGCCCCAGAGTCTGAGGAATCAGGAGACCCTGCAGAGGCAGGCCAGGGGAGAGCTGGTGCCCGGGGCGGGTCTCTGATGCCCACCCCCTTCTCTCCTGCAGACCCCCACCTCCTGCGCACCATAACCCCCGAGACCCTGTGCCACGCAGGAGGGCCCTCCCGCCTGGAGCACCTGCCCCCACCTCCAGCCCACCTGCCAGGCCCCCCGCCGCCCCCACCACCCCCACCTCACTACTCCGTCCTACAGCGGGACCTGTACATGAAGGCGGAGCCCCCGATGCCCCCCTATGCTGCTGTGGGGCAGGGCTTGGTGCCCGCCGAGCTGCACCACACCCAGCAGTCGCAGATGCTGCACCAGCTGCTGCAGCAGCATGGAGCCGAGTAAGACTGGGCAGCCATCCGGGGCGGGAAGATGAGGTGGGGGGTCAGGGAGCAGCAGGCAGGACGGAGGTGGAGGTGGGGACAGGCATGAGCCCAGGAAGGGCAGAAGGCTCCAACCCTAGGACACGGGGTCAACATGAGTGTTTGCACATGCCCAGCAAGGCCGCGGGGATTTCCAGCCATGGCCAAGTGCTCACAACTGCCTTGTTTGGTGGCATGGCCGTCCCCATTGCCCATGTGGGTAAACTGGGGCTCCAAGAGGGGGATGTGCTTGCCTGGGTCATGAAACTAAGAAGGATGGAGTCAAGATTTGAACCTGGGCTGTGCTGTCACCGGACACCAGTGACTTTCCAGCCATCTCAGAGAGTCCTCGGGGTTCTGAGGAAGTCCCAGGCGCAGACCCAAACTCCCAGGTCTGACTCCAACCTGCGGAATTGTCTTTTTATGTTTTACATGTGGAGGTTTCATGAAAGATTTAGTTCAAGGCAAGATTCCACTGCCTAAACTTTTTGTCAACCAGAAGGGGAAGGGGCGCCGTGCAGCCCCCCAAGTCTTCAGCCCCTATGCCAGGAAACTCCTCCCGCCTTCGGGCCCAGGCCCCCTGTGGCTGGTTTCCGGCCGTGGGGGCTGCTCTCCGGAGAGCCGTGGGGGGGACCCTGAGAGTGACAGCCCAGGGAAGGGGCGGACTCGTTCCTTGCGCCAACGACTCTGAGTGCACTGCCTGCCAGGCCCGTTGCCTGGCGTGATGGGGACACACAGACAAGTCAGGTGTGGCTCCTGCCTTCCTGGGTTTCACAGGCTGCGGGGGCGGGGGGTAACTCAGTGACAGAAACAGCAATGGGGGAGCTCTCAGGAGGCATCCTCCAGGCTGGGCGCATCCTGCAGAAACAGGGAGCGGGGTCCTGCGCAGAGGGAGGGGGCTCAGGGGGAGCCAGCCCCCCATCGGGCATGCCTCTGTCCATCCAGGCTCCCCACACACCCCTCCAAGAAGAGGAAGCACTCTGAATCGCCCCCCAACACCCTCAATGCCCAGATGCTGAATGGAATGATCAAACAGGAGCCTGGGACCGTGACAGCCCTGCCGCCACACCCACCTCGAGCCCCGTCCCCTCCCTGGCCTCCCCAGGGCCCGCTCTCACCAGGCCCCGGCTCCCTGCCCCTCAGCATCGCCCGGGTGCAGACGCCGCCCTGGCACCCACCAGGTGCACCCTCACCAGGTACACGGCTGGCCTGCTAGACCCCACAGGGGGCTGACCCTTCTTCAAGCTGGGGAGCGGGTCCCAGGGCCTACATAGGCGTCCCCTTCCTCCAGGTCTCCTGCAGGACAATGACAGCCTCAGTGGCTCCTACCTGGATCCCAACTACCAGTCCATCAAGTGGCAGCCACATCAGCAGAACAAGTGGGCAACACTGTACGATGCAAACTACAAGGAGCTGTGAGTGACCTGTGCTGCTCCCCACCCTCCTGGCCACCCACCTGGGCGCCCGCCCCCAGCCCTGGCATCGTGGTCCTGGAGCAGGGCCTGGGAGCGCACTGGGAACCAAATGGCCTGTTTTACGGAAGAGCGGACAGGCTCAGGGCAGAGCTGGGGCAGGCGCTCAGGGTTTCTGACTCCTGGGCCAGCCCGAAGCCTCCTTAAGAAAGTGGTATCTGCCAGGGAGGGGCCAGTGGGGGCCAGGTCAGGGAGAAGTGTGTGGGTAGGTGTTTTCTGGCTTCTCTTTCCCCCGTGCCTCCTCCACCTCCTCCTCTGCATTCCAGGAAGGTAGCAGGAAGCTGAGTATTAGCAAGGCCCTTCCAGCAGCCCCCTCCCTGGAAGAAGGGGCCGAGGGGGTAGGGGAGGACTGGGTCAGAAGCTGCCTGGCGTTCCTAGCCCTTCCTCAACACCCACCTGGTTTCAGCTTCCTGGCCTGGCCAGGAGCCCTGTGGGACCACTCCCCTCACTTGCGCAGGAGGCCAGTGAGCGGGGAGAGTGTGGCTCCCCTCGGCTCACCTTGGACATTGCCAGGCCTGGGCAGGGTGGCGGGACTCAGGCCCTCTCACAGCTGAGACCAGCCTCCTGGAATTGGCACCCCAGGCTCTGTGGGACTTTAACGAGAAGCCCTCAGGGTAGTGGGCAGGGTGGGGAGGGGGAACGGGGTTTCCATGCTTCATTGGCTGAAGGGTCCCTTGAGGGCCTGCCAGGGTTGGGGAGAGGTCGTTAGGGGTCCAGCCTCTATGGCCTGGTGAGGACCCCCCACGCCACTCCTACTTCCTGGGCCAGCCCTGCCACCCCAGGCCCCAAGGCCAGGAAGCTGGCAGCTGAGGTGCCTGGTGTGGCCCAGGCACTTCCTGGGTGTTCTTCTGGCGCAGGCAGGAGGGTGGAGTCCCGGGAGGGAGAGGTGGTAAGCCCTGGGCCTTCCTGTAGACATTAGCCAGGCCCAGCGCCCTCCCCTCACAAACTGGAAACATTGTCCTTGCCCAGCTTCCTCTAGGCAAGCACTGGTCACCGGGCATCGGGCATTGGCAGCTGCTTGTGCCTTGGGACCTGGGTGGGCGGGCCAAGCTGGACTGGGGTACAGACTTGGAACAGACTCCCAGCAACAGATGGGCAAGCTGAGGCTGAGTGCAGCTGCCCAGGGCACCCCGTCCCCACCCGCACATATGGAGGCGTCGGAATGAGGATGTTTGGGGGCTTGAGGGAGCCTGGTGGGCAGGGGCTGGGCCAGCTCAGAGCTGGCGCCTGGTTCCACCGTTTCCATGGCAACCAGCTGTCAGGCGCAGTGAGGCTCTGCAGACCATCCCCTCTAACCCCATCTCCCACGAGGGTGGGGGCTTCAGGCAGTGTGCTGGGAAGGAGCCAAGTGTGGTGAGGGGCCATCATGCCCCCTCCTCAGGCCTTCCCTCCCACCTGGTGGGCCTCTGTCTCTTGCCCTGTTTCCCCCATCCCCAGGGCACGGTGGTCGGTCCCAGGCATGTAGAGGAAAGAATAGTGACTGAGATGGTAGAGCTGAGCCCAAGGCCTCGAGGGACTCAGCTTCCATTTCTGAGACGTGGGGGCAGCCCCGTGATCAGGGGTTCAGGGTAGGAAGTTGGCACACAGGCCTGTTGGGGGACCCCGGGCCCGGCTTGGAGGCCTCTGGTGAGCGCCCTTCCTTGCCCCCAGGCCCATGCTCACCTACCGCGTGGACGCCGACAAGGGCTTCAACTTTTCGGTGGGTGACGACGCCTTTGTGTGTCAGAAGAAGAACCACTTCCAGGTGACAGTGTACATCGGCATGCTGGGTGAGCCTAAGTACGTCAAGACACCCGAAGGCCTCAAGCCCCTCGACTGCTTCTACCTGAAGCTGCACGGAGTGAAGGCAGGTTTGGGGGCTCAGCAGGGAGGGGCGGCCAGGGGGCCTGGGGGGCTCTGGGTGGAAACTCTCAGGGCTGAGTCCACCCCTGCCACTCAACCGTCCCGTCTTTTCTCTCTGTGATGCCTCTTAACCACTGGGCTCCTCGTGTCCTCCCCCATCCTGACCCCAGGTCTGTATCCCCAGCCAAGGCGCCCTTTCCCGACCACTCTGTCAGCCGCCACATCCTCATGTCCCAAAATGACTGAGTCCCCTGCGAACTTGCCCCTCCCCCAGACTCCCTTCTCAGGAGTAGGGCTCCAGGGCCCTGGCCACCCAGGCCGTAGATCCGGGGCCCGCTTGCCCACACTTCATCATGCACCGGGCCATGCTAACTCCTCTTCCCGGACAAGGCCACCCCCTCTCCTTGTCTGAACATCCACAGCACCTTCCACTCTGGCTCCCAACTCAAGCCCCACCTGAGACCCAGGTGGACACGGCACTCCCTGCTCCTCTGCGGCCCCCAGTGCCCGCCTGGCGAAGCCCCGACGTCTGAGCTGAGCCCACCAAGGCCTTCGGGGTCTGGCCCCGCCATTGGCTGTGCCCCAGGCTGCTGTGTCCAGTCACAGCCCCTGCCTGTCCTTAGCGGCTTCTGCTCCTTGGTTAACCCTCCAAATGCCTGTTCCATCCCTCTTCTCCTGGCTGACTGCTTCTTGACCGTCACTGTCCATAGCTGCTATAGTCCTTGGGGACACTTGCCCTGAAGCCTGTCTTGACTTAGAGGCCCTGCCCCTAAGACCCCGCCCTCCCCAGCATGACATCAGTGGAGCTTGATTTTGAGACCCGGGAGTATGGCAGGGTATACCCTCCTTCAGTGTCACGTGGAGAGGTTGGGGGGACATGGGAGGGGGTGCTGGGAGTGAGAGGGTGTGGGTGGGGTTGTGGGTAGGGGTTTGTGGAGGCCGGTGCGGGGCATGTACTCAGGCTGGGGGAGTGTGGGTGTGGAGTGGGGGCTACGAGGATGGCCGAGCAGCATGCGTAGGCTCACGCGCGTGCGCGGAGGCGGGGAAATGGGTGCAGGTGTGGGTCTTTGGGGCGTGTGGCTGTGTAGGAGAAGGCACTCAAGCACATGGGGGAGTGCTGCTGAGGGGAGGGTGGTGCCTTCGTTCCTCCTGAGCTCCAGCCAGGCCGGGCCTGGCTGAGAGGCTGCAGGCCCAGGAGAGCTGCCAGGCCCTGAGTTGCCCTTGGGCTGTGCTCCTCCCCCAGCTAGAGGCCCTGAACCAGTGCATCAACATCGAGCAATCTCAGTCAGATCGGAGCAAGCGGCCCTTTAACCCTGTCACGTGAGTGTCTGACCCCTCAAGGGTGGCACCTGCAAGGGCTGATGCTGGACCTGGCTTGGGAGCTGAGGGGGGCTAGGCAGGCACCCACAATGTCCACTTCCCACACCTGGGTGCCCCCCTGTGGCCCAGCTCTCCCCATCTCCCAGTGCCCGCTCTCTGAATCTCCTGCCCCTCCTCCGCAGTGTCAGTCTGCCCCCTGAGCAGGTCACGAAGGTGACAGTGGGGCGGCTGCACTTCAGTGAGACCACGGCCAACAACATGCGCAAGAAGGGCAAGCCCAACCCTGACCAGAGGTGAGCAGGCTGGACCTCTGTCCCGAAGTCCCACCATATCTGGGGAGGGGGTCCAGGAAGATGCCACAGACTGACTCATTTTACAGATGAGGAACCTGAAACTCAGGGCCATTAGTTGACTTAAGGATGGGAGAGCAGAAGCCTGGCTTCTGGGTTAAGAAACACTTCTGTGGCCGCCTAGTGGTGGGCCCCTGGGGAATGTCTGCCCCCTAGTGGAGACTCAGGTTCCTGCTCTGTAGGATGGATGTTCATGCCCACTTCTTGGGGTCCTGGGAACCTGGGGGAGAATACTGAGCAGGCAGTTTTGTGCACTGTGTAGGTGACCTGGGAAGGGTTGCAGGGTACGAGGGGTGAGCAGAGGCAGGTGGGGCGGGATCTGGGTGCCTCTGAGACCCCTGTGTGCCCCAGGTACTTCATGCTGGTGGTGGCCCTCCAGGCCCACGCACAAAATCAGAACTACACACTGGCCGCCCAGATCTCGGAGCGCATCATCGTGCGGGTGAGGGCCTCCCCCGAGGGGCGAGAGGCCTCCCCAGTGCTGGGAGGCAAGCCCCCAGGAGAAATGCCGGGGTACTGGGGAGTCAGGGGCTGGAGGGCTGATCCTGCTGGGCACTAGCTGTGTGGCCTGAGGCAAGGCTCCACCCTCTCTTGGCCTCAGGGTCTCCTTTACCGAAAGCTCTGAGGTGGACTGGGCCTGGTAGCTTTCTGAAATTCCACAAGTAACTGAAAATGGCCACAGTGGGAGGTGGGGCGAGGAGCCCTGGCTGGAGCTGGAGGGGCGGCTGAGGGGCTTCCCCTTTCCCCGGGGCGCTGCAGTTCTCCCATCCCCCAGGACTGATCCATCCAACCCCAACTTGCGCTAGGCCTCCAACCCGGGTCAGTTTGAGAGCGACAGCGACGTCCTGTGGCAACGAGCGCAGGTGCCCGACACAGTCTTCCACCATGGCCGTGTGGGCATCAACACGGACCGGCCTGACGAGGCGCTGGTTGTGCATGGCAACGTCAAGGTCATGGGCTCGCTCATGCACCCATCGGACCTTCGGGCCAAGGAGCACGTGCAAGAGGTGGGGACAGCTGAGCTAACGGCAAGAGGGGCTGATGGCAGGGGAAGGAATTGGGGGGAGGCTGGGCCTGGATCGCTGGATCCTGGGATCCTGGTAGCAGAGTCTCCCCCGACCCTGCAGCCTCTGGGCTGCCACCGTCTTGGGCTCCAGACCCACTCTGGCCCGGCCAGGAGGGGAGAGGTTCAGTCTTAGGAGTGGCTTCCACGCAGGTGGACACCATGGAGCAGCTGAAAAGGATCTCTCGCATGCGGCTCGTGCACTACAGATACAAGCCGGAGTTTGCTGCCACTGCTGGCATCGAGGCCTCGGCGCCAGAGACAGGTAAGGACAAGGGGAGCTGAAGTCTGGGAATCAGGTAACCCTGCCCCTGTCCTCTGGAAACCCTCCTTCTGGGAGCCCCTCCCCTTGACTCTTAGAACTCCGCCCCCAGGAACCCTGCCCTCTATAAGTCCCGCCCCTCAGCCCCTGGGAAATCATGCCAACCCCAGTGCCCGTATTCACTCCTTGACATGGGAAGTCCAGGAGCTGCGCCCAGGGATCCTTGCCTCTCTGCCCTTGGATGGATCCTGCCTCTAGTCCCCTGGATCCCCGCCCTCTTCTTCTGGGATCCTTACTCCCAGGGATCTGTCCCTTCCCCCGACCAGGGAAACCCCACACCTTGAGCCTCGAACTGCGACACTGTGGACACTTGTTTGTGCAGCCCCCTAACCCCACTTCAAGGCTCCTTGGAACCCAAATATTTGGCCCCCAGAACTTGGCCCTCTCCAGCCCCTGTCCCCTCCTTACGTTAGGTGCTGAGGGTAGCCCCCCACACATACACTTGGCTTGCCCCCAGGTGTCATTGCCCAGGAGGTGAAGGAGATCCTGCCTGATGCTGTGAAGGACACTGGAGACGTGGTCTTTGCCAATGGGAAAACTATAGAGAACTTTCTGGTGGTGAACAAGGTTTGTGCCAAGGGGGAACTGGAGGGAGCCCAAGGGGCAGAGGGGCGGGCCTGGTGGAAGGCATTCACTCCTTCAAAGAGACTGGGGGAGGTGCAGCCTCCAGAGTTCCCTCCCTCTGTCACAGAGGAGGGGGTGAGCTTCAGGGGGCAAGTGGGGACTTGCCCCCTGTATGGCTGTGTGATGAGGGCAAGAGGAACCTTGCTGAGGGTCATTTTCCTCCCCTGCCAAAGGAGAGTAATATGGTAGCTGCTGAGACATTCTCACGTGGCCATTGCAAAGCTTAAACACGCGGTTTATTGTGAGGATGGTGTTTGCGGCTTACACGGTGTGGCGCTGGGCTGTAATACGTTTTGGCCTCGGCTGAATCGTTGAATGCTTCAGTGTGAGACACCCTGCTCATGAGAGGGGGGCATCGGAGGGCACGAGCCCCTGGGAAATGGGGCATTCTCATGGGGTGGGAAGGGCTCTTCAGGCCGGCGGGATGCCAGCGTGGGGATGCCGTTTGGAGGTGCAGGCACAGGGGGCCGTGGGAGCTGAGTCTGGGCCGGAGGAAAGGCTGCCCTGGGCAGGGAAGCTTTGAGGGGCTCCCTTCCTGCTCCCCAACGAGCTCGTAGCCTGGGGCTCCCCAGAGCAGACTGTGCCCGCAACAGTGGCCTATTGCCTGCGTCAGGAGCGTATCTTCATGGAGAACGTGGGTGCTGTGAAGGAGCTGTGCAAGCTGACGGACAACCTGGAGACGCGCATCGATGAGCTGGAGCGCTGGAGCCACAAGCTGGCCAAACTGCGGCGGCTGGACAGCTTCAAGTCCACCGGCAGCGCAGGCGCCTTCAGGTGGGGGCGCGGGGTGGGGGAGGGCAAGACCCACTGCCCAAAGGCACCTCTGACTCGGACCCTTTTGCTGCAGCCACACAGGGAGCCAGTTCAGCCGGGTGGGCAGCATCCCCCATAAGAAGAGGCCCCCCAAAGTAGCCAGCAAGGTAAGGGTGGGCAGGGGTGGGAGGCAGGTTGACCATCCCCATCCCCCCTGGCTCTCCTTTCCAGCTTGCCCCTCTCCAAGCTCACTGACTCCAAGTGCTTCATTTCCTATCCGGACCCTCCCCCAGCCCCCCAAGCCCTGTTTGTCCTTCCTCTCCCTCTGCCTTCTGTGGGAATGAGTCAACCTTGGCACCTCGACCTCCAGCAAAGCCCACAGTGGATAAGGTCACAGGCTCCCTAAGTCTGGGCCTTTTCCGCTTCTTCCCGCTTCCTCTCGGTCCTCAGCCACCGTCCGTGGTCCCAGACCAGGCCTGCATCAGCCAGCGCTTCCTGCAGGGAACCATCATTGCCCTGGTGGTGGTCATGGCCTTCAGGTGACTTGTTCCGCAGGCTTGGGGGTGGCTGGCCGGCCAGGGGAGTTGAGCTTCCCACAGTGGGAAGAGGAAGCCTCAGCCTAGGAGAGCCCTGGAGGTCCTGGGGAGGGAGGTGGGCTGCCTCATGCTGTCTCGTCCCCCAGGGGCCAGGGGACCCATTACAGGCGTCACCTGGGAACCCAGGCCCTGCCCTAGAGAGAGGGCGTAGACCGTGGCTCCAGCTCTAACTATGGCCCTTTTCTGGGGTTCCCAGTGTGGTGTCCATGTCCACGCTGTACGTGCTGAGCCTGCGCACCGAGGAGGACCTGGTAGAAACGGATGGGTATGTCCCTGGAGGCCTGGCTGCCCGCTGAGCTGCCAGGTCAGGTGGGGCTTTGGTGGGCAGCCCAGGGTCAGGGAAGCCACAGAAGCTGTCCCCTCTAAGTGGGGTCCACCTTAGGCTTTCAGACTGCTGGGGGCTTGTGAGGGTGGGTAGGAGGGTCTGCCTGCAGTGGGGCAGCTGTTTTCTAGTCCTGCAGAAGCCGATGTTTCTCTCTGGCTACTCAGTGCTCCTCCAGGTACCCAGGCCTCTGAGAGTCAGAGGCATCTGAGGGGTCCAGGTTGGACAGGGGTGGAGGGAAGGAGGGCCAGGGTGGGACCTTGGGCTCTGTCTGCCCACTGTCACCCTCAGCCTCTGGGGCCAGCTCTGACTGTGTCTTCTCTCTCCTTCCCTGCGCCTGTCTCCCCTTTTTCTTCTCTGCTGCCCCTTAGCTCTTTTGCCGTGTCCACTTCCTGTCTCCTGGCCCTGCTCCGGCCCCAGCACCCGGGGGGGAGTGAGGCCTTGTGCCCATGGTACGTGTCAGGACCCAGCCCCCTCCCTCCTGCCTCTGGCTCCTGCCGCCCTCTTCCTGCCTCCTTTCCACCTTCCCTGGCCCCCTCCTCCTGCCCCTCCTGCTTCTCTAGGAATCCCAGGCCCCCCGACTCAGGCTGTCCCAACCCCTCTGAGTTTAGTCCACCCTTCCTCAGCAGGTCCAGCCAGAACTTTGGAACCACTCAGCTCCGACAGTCCCCTGTGACCACTGGGCTGCCGGGCACACAGCCCTCGTTGCTGCTGGGTGCGTGCCTGGGGTGGGTCTGGAGCGATGGGATCGCGGAGAAGCGGCTGTGCGCTGGGTGAGGGCTCTGCTGTGCCCCTCAGGCTCATGCCGCCTCTGGCTTCCTCAGTTTCCACCAGCCTGGCCAGCTCAGCCCCGGGACCAGCCATCCGCACCTTAGACTTGTGCTCCAGCCACCCCTGCCCTGTTGTCTGCTGCTCCTCACCCACTCCAAGCCCTACTGCTGACCCTAGTCTTGGCTCCAGCTTTAGCCCCGGCCGAGATCTCAACCCCAGTTCCAGCTCCTCCACGAACCACTCAGGTATGGAGTTGGGGTTTTTTTTGGGGGGGGGGTTGTTTGTTTTTGACCTGAGTCCGGAGGAAGACCCCCGAAGACTCATTGGTGGGAGGGTCTCCTGGAACCCAGAGTGAGGCTCTGGAAAGGATTGGGGGCCCCCTAGGAGGCTAAGAGATAGATGTGGGTCACCCAGAATCCAGAGGAGCCGAAGGGATAGCTGGGAAGGAGGCAGCCAGTTCCCTCTACTCAGCCTGTCCCTGGTTCTATCCACAGACCCTAGCCAGATGGCCCTGCTGCCAGTCACCAACATCAGAGCCAAGTCCTGGGGCCTGTCAGCCAATGGCATTGGCCACTTCAAGCATCCAAAGAGCTTGGAGCCTGTGGCCAGTCCTGCAGTCCCCTTCCCTGGGGTGCAGGGCAAAACCAAGAACAGCCCCAGTCTCCGAATCCATGGCCGGGCCCGCCGAGGGGCCCCCCAGCCTGGCCTGGGCCCTGCCCAGCCCACTCAGACCTGGGGCCCACCAGGTACTTGCCCTGCCCCCTGCACCCCTCAGCCCAGCCCAGCCCGGCATAGCTCACTGGCCAGGGCCCGTTTCAGCCCGGTCACCTGAGTGCCTGGATGTGGCACCATCCATCAGCAGTAACCAGAAATCGGGGCAGGGGCTTTACAGAGGCTGCCTCATTTAACCTGCAGAAGCTTCCTGCAGAAAGGAATGGTTCCCATTTTTCTGATGAGGAAGCAGAGACAAATGAAGTGACTTGTCAAGGGCCCTGTAACCCGTCAGTGGCAGAGCTGGAATTTGATGCCAAGTCTGCCCAACTCCAGGGTCTGGCTCCTTCTGTGTTTTTCCAAACCTCAAACCCTTAGTTGCACAAAGCTACAGAATCCTTTCTTGCAGAGGTGTTCAAGCCAAGGTCCTCCATGGTGACCTGGGGGCTGCCTTGGAGGTTGAAGGGGAGGCTAAGAGCCTTCCTGGCTCCAACCAGGTAGCTCTGCTCTAGGCATTGGGCCTCCTCATCAGCTTTCATTTGATGGGCGTTGTGGCTTAAACAACAACAACAAAAAGCTGAGAAGCTGTGGCTTACTGAGTTTGAAGTTCAAAGTGAGGGGGGAGCCCCCTGGGGTAAGATGCCCACCAGACAGCCGTTTCCTAGGCCCTGCTCTGTGGCTGGCTCTGTATGGGGCACTGGGGGAAGACATGCTCTGACCCCAAAGAGCTCACAGACACGGAAACACAGCCATAGGATGAGGCTCTGAGAGGTGGCTTCTTGGCTGGGGAGGACACTCAGTCCAGGCCAAGGCGGGGAGGTGATCAGGGAAGGATCAGGCAGGGAACATTGGAATTGGGTCTCTGAAGGACAGTAGGAGTGTGCCCAGAAAAGAAGTTCAAGGGCGCTATCTATAGAGTCCTTATCTGATCCCCATCCATGACCCCACAGGGCATTCTGGGTCCTGCTGGGTTCCTTGGTGCCTCATAAAGCTGAAAATGTCGCAGGCCCAGCAAATGTTCAGTGGCTAGTGGCCCCAGCTTCCCCTTCTTGGGCAGATGGTCAGACAGCAGCGAGCCTGAAGATGAACTGAGATGAACAAAGAAACTCGTTTCCCCTCCCGCAGCCAGCCAATCCGTCCGTAGTGGGCTTGTTCAGAGAGGACTGCAGGCAGCAGCGTGCTGGCGCACGTCTCACACGTGGCTTTTGTGGGTGGCCAGGGACCCCGGTTCCTGCATGTGAGCACTCCCACTGGGGCTGATTTCAAGTCACCTGCTTCACTGAGCCCAGAGTGGGTTAGAGATGGGTGCGATTGGGAGCAGAGGCCTAAGAGCAGGCTCGGCCCCCCCACTCCCCCACCCTCCAGCAAGGGATATGGGAGACCATCCCTGCTCCTGGGTGTTCTGGTTCTGTCAAGGAGATAGACCTCAGGCTCCCGGGAGCTGGCTAGTCCTGGGGCAGTTGGGGAAAAGGGCAATGCACCTCCAGCCACTGTGGGGGTCTGGGAAGAATGACCTGAAACTTACTCACACTAAGGTGTGACTGCCTGATCCACAGCTGGCAGGGAAAGGCTTGGCTGCTCCTCGTTTGTGTCCTGCCTTGTCACCCTCCTCCTCTTCGCCCCAACAGCCTCTTTCCTTACAGACGCAGCCCCCTCCCTGACCTCCATCCAGGTGCTGGAGAACTCGATGCCCATCACTCCCCAATACTGCGCTCCAGGGGGTGCCTGCAGGTGGGCTTGGCTCCCTCCCTTCACACCAGGGGCAGGTTCCCCCAGATGACATGATGTCCAGGCAGTACAGATGTCCAGATCTTGGACCCTCGAGAGAGACTTCCCCCACAAGGCGGGGCAGTCCTTCCTAGACCCCTGAAGCGTTCCAGTATAGACTGAGGGCTGAGGTTGGGGTGAGGGCTGAGGTTGAGACCAAAGCTGGTTGGGATGGGGGCTGTGGGGGTGGCCTTCGGCTGAGGGGCCAGCTTTGCCCTTTCAGGCCTGGGAACTTCACCTACCACATCCCTGTCAGCAGCAGGACTCCCCTGCACCTCAGCCTGACGCTGCAGATGAAGTGAGTGTGTGGTGTGGGGGAGGGGAGAGACACAGTGGTGCCAGGGGCTGAGGAGGGATACTAACTGCCTGCCCGGTGCTTCACGGGTGGTGTGGCCCTGGCACTCTCTCGGCTTCAGGTCCTTGTCTGTAGCATGGGCTGCTGCCTCCAGCGGCCTTGACTGTGTGGGATGGTGGGTGGGAACGGGTGTATAGTTGTCGAGGACCTTGACTGTTAGTCATCATTTTCAAGCTGTGTGAGGGTCCAGTAGCTTGTGTCAGTGGGGCAGGGGAGGTGGAGTGAAGCCTGGCAGGGAGGAGGCCAGGGCGGGGGAACTCAGAACCCCATTTCCCTGCTAACTGGGCCTTCCCCAGCTCCTCGTTCCCCGTGTCCGTGGTGCTGTGCAGCCTGATGTCAGAGGAGCCGTGTGAGGAGGGGGGCCTTCTACGGAGCCTCCACACCCACCAGGACACCCAGGTACAGGGCAATGGGGAAGCTGTGAACCAACCAGGCCCCAGAGCACAGCTGGGCCCCCAATGGGTGAGGAGAGGGAGCCAGGGCTTTGGGGTCTGGGCCTCTGTGCCCCCGGGTGGGGGGTCTTATGTGCACCATTTACTGCTGAGCATCTCCTGTCCCTGTTCTGAAAGAGCCCCAGAGAAGAAAACAATCCCAGAAGGACTAACTTGAATGCAATGGTGGGAACAGGGAGTCCTGGGAGCCCATGGCAGGGGGAGCTAATCTTGTTTGGTCTCAGGGTCAGGACAGCCACTGACAAAAGTCATGTGTAATTAAGACAAGACCTGAAGGACAATTTGGGGACTGTGTCCTGGGAGTAGGGGAACAGCACATGCAGAGGTCTAGAGGCCAAGGAGAGTGTGGCATGTTGGCAGAGCTGGAAGCATGGTGGGGGCTGAGTCAGGAGGCCAGTGGGCCAGGAGCCTGGGCCTCAGGCTTGGGCTGGGGAAGTGGCACAGTTCCATCGGGTTTTTGGAAGACGACTCTGGCTACATGTAGAGGGCTACCTCCTGCTCCAGGAACCAGGTGGCTGGGGTCCTGTCACTGTCTAGTTCCTCACTGGCCGTGACCTGAAGTTGTGACTCTCAGCACAAGTTAAGGAAATTTCTTTTCACCATTTGTGTGTTTAGTCAACAAATGCTCATGGGGTCCCTGCCAGCTAGCTCAGATGGTTAGAGTGCCGTCCCGATAGTCCAAGGTTGTGGGTTTGACCTCTGGCCAGGGCACATGCGAGAGACAACCGATGACTGCATAAATAGGTGGAAAAACAAGCAATGTTTCTCTCTCCCTTCCTCTCTATAAAATCAATCAATAAATTTTTAAAAACCTTCCCTGGCACCGTCTCTGTCGCAGACCCTGTGCTGGGCCCAGCTGTGGGGAGATGGAAGCGCAGTGTGCACAGGCCTTGCCTTCCGACAGTGCCCTAGCCAGGGAGAAAGAAGTGCAGAAAGTAACCTAAGTACAGGATGGGGTAGATGAGAGCCCTAAGAGGCCCAGGCCCTGTGGCCCCACCGAGACAGGAGAGCACAAGAAAATGGGGGGAACATGGCAAAGCGCTCATTGGGTGTGGCGCCCAGGCTTGACACACATACTACAGAGGCAAAGCCGGAGCCTCAGGGAGGAAATGGGCACGCTGCCTGCACCGGGCTCTGTGCTGCCCTGCCAGGGAGAGAGCATGACAGACCAGGGTTTGAAGTCCAGCTCTGCCATGTGTCACCGTGTGGTTTCAGGCAAGCAACTCATTTTCCTCATCTATCAGCAGTGCCACCTCATTGGGCTGTAGTGAAGATGGTGTTAATGAAATACTTCCACATGCCCAGAGCATAGAGGATGAGAGGGAAGGTAGACAAGACAGGGAAGAGGCAGGCACCAGGTGAGGGCAGCTGTGGACCTGGCACAGTCTGCACTGAGGGTGGCTGCCATTGCTCCCCAAAGCACATCCCGCTCCCTCCCATCTCTCTTCCCCAAACATGCCGCAGAGCGCACGGCTACACTGGCCACGTGAGAGGGATGCTGATTAGGAAGGGGGAGGGGGCTGTCCTGACCCCTCTCTACTCTTTCTCCAGGGCACTTCCCACCAGTGGCCAGTAACCATCCTGTCCTTCCGTGAATTCACCTACCACTTCCAGGTGGCATTATTGGTGAGCACAGCCACCGGTATCTGTGTGGGTCTTGGGGGAGGGATGGGAATGGGGGGTTTGCAGAGCTCAGGGAAGGACTGGGGGCAGTGTCAGGCAATGTCATCCGGGGGAGGACCTCCTGCCTTGCAACCCCCAAGCCACCTCACCCAGTCCCACTGTCCTTCCACTCAGGGTCAGGCCAACTGCAGCGCGGAGGCCCTGGTCCGGCCAGCCACAGACTACTACTTCCGATTCTACCGCCTGTGTGACTGAGTTGCCCTCCCTGAGGCAGCCCCACACCGGGGCCCGGGGCCCCTGGGCGCCCTCCCTACACTGGATGCAGTGGTGTTACACTGGAGCCTGCGGCCCGCCAGCTCTCCACCACTCACTGGCACTCCCCTGGAGGCTGAGCTCGGCCTGGCCCTCCCTGCCTGGTGAAACTGGAAGTCCTCACACTGGAGCTGCTGTTCCTGCTGGTCACTCCTCCCACACCCCGGAGGGAACCAGAGACCTCCTGGGGCCAGGACAGGACCAGTTCACATCTGTCCAGCTATGGTGGTTGGAGGGCTGGCTTCAGGTGCCCTGGAGGCAAGGGGAAGCCTGGGACTCTCTCCAGAGCCCACCCTCCCTGCCTCTCCTTTTGAGACTGGGAGCTGCCTTTTGGCCCTCAGAGAGGACCTGCTTGCCTTTGAGATCAGCGGAGGCTTGATGGAGCCGACACTTGGCTGGAACCATGGATCAGTGGAGGGCAGACAGCCCTCACTCTCGAAGTGGCTCCCTGAGGGGTAGCGAGGAGATGGGACTTTTGGGGTTTGACTGTTACGCTGGACTTGCACTTCGAAGCTTTAAGTGTGGCCCAGGAGGTCTCCTGTCCCTGGGAGAGCTTGGCTCCAAGAGCTTCCAGGGCAACTGAAGCCAGCCCTGGATGGGTTGGAGAGATGAACCACGTGCCTTATGTACACTTAGTGCCTGGCTGAACCAGTGGGGCCAGTGGGCCAGGTAAGCCTCGGACCCTTGAACCTGGAGTATCCTGGAAGTTCCCCATGAGTTTCCTGGTGGTGCGGCCCCAAGGCCTGGGCTCCTGGGAGCTGCTAGAGCTCATAGAGGTGCCGGTGACCCATCATTCTTTGAGCAGAGGAGCAGGAATCCTTGCAAGGCCGCAGGCCATCTTGGCTGATGGATGGGTGCAGATAGCTTTTCCTGTTATTAATGAATTACTAAAATGCACTTAAACCAGGACAAGAGTGGAAGGGTGGTGACAGGGGCCCAGAGCGGGCCAGAGTCTTGGGATGATACTTGCAAAGACAGGGCCCTGGTTCTGATCTGTCCCAGGGGGCCTTGAGACATCCATCCGACTCCCGACCATGAAGACTCTGGCCTCTCCCTCCATTCTTGTCTGCTGGAGGCCCCATCTCTGCTCACTCCTCCCAGGCGTGGGGTGGGCTCAGGTTAGGGCGGAAGTCTTATCTCAAGTGCCAATGTTAACTTGTCTTTAGTGAGTGTCTGCAGCATTCTGAGGCCACATCTGACTTGTGGAAGGAGTGTGGCAATCACTGAGCCATGTCTGCCATGGGTTCAGATACGAGGACAGGACTTCCCTTATGTCCTTGCTCTGTGGTCTGCCACCTCTCTGGGAACCAGGCCTTGCCCCTCTCCTATGTCTCATTCTCAGCTCTGAATGGGAGGCCTTTACATAATGGGGCTGAATCTTGAAAAAGTCTAGAACTGTGAGCCCCCTTCTGCTGTGGATCTCAAAGCACTTATCCTGAGGATGGGAAAACACCAGGGGGATGGGGGCTAGTGGGGATACCTGGACACTCAGCCCCCTCCCCAGTGGGGCTCCACTCCCTCATTCTGACACAGGAATAACATGGCTCTCATACCATGCAGGGGGCCCAGCCTTACTTAAGACTACTCTGCTCTCTCCCCTCCCACAGCATGGTGGTGGTGGGGGACCTCCCTATGTGCCTTAAAACTGCTGAGCCCCCCTCCTTATAATAGGATTCTGGGGCTTCCCCAGCAGGTATGTGTTCTTGGACTATGGCCCCTCTGTCCTTAACTGGAAAATGACCCTCCATTGCCCCCTGGAGCCCATCTGGATACAGCATAGCCCCAACCTGGCCAGCAGCTGGCTGTTTCCATGCCTGGAGTGGGGGTCTCAGGGTAGGGGTTGGGGCCAAGTTGGGGCTCCAAGCTGCTCGAGGGGGGGTCAACCTTGGACCAAAGTTGCGTTAAGCCCAATAAGGTAAAAGGGCCTCAGGGAAGGTGAAGGGGCCACCTGCTGGAGGCTGACAGCTGCCTGGCTGGAGCTGAGAAGTGGGTGTCTCGGCTCCATGCCCTACCCAGGGTCCAGCAGCCATCTCTTCCTTTCTCTCTCCCCTTTGGCATTTATTCCTATAGCCACTGGGCTAATCTCCCCCAAGCTTCAAGCTGTACATAGGGCCTCTTAATGCACAAGACCCCTACCCTCAGTATATCTCCCATAAAAGCCTGCATGTGCATAGAGCGCCCCTCCCTCCCTGTTAACTCCCAGCTCCCGTCCCTGGGCTTTGACTCATATTTATCGTGTACCAACTCTGACTCAGGAGTGGGCAGAGGGAAGCAGCCCTGGGCCTGTTTGCTTCCTGTCCCCTGAACTGTTCTTTTCTTCTGAAGTAAATACACATATATAAATAAATGTATAAATACGGCTTTGTATCTGAGCTTGCCTCCCTGTCTCTTCTTGAGATTGTTCTGGTGGGAGATGGAGTCGCCTATGGGGCGAGGACCTACTGGAATCTCTGGGGTGCCTATGCCAGATGCATGATTTATATCCCATTATCCTTCTTAGCTTCACACTGGGCTTGGGAACAGGGCTCAACAGCCCCCACCTCCAGCCGCAACCAAGGGACCTACTGCTGCCCTACGTGGCTTAAAAGTAGCCATCCTAGGGAAAAGCCTTTTTAGGGGACAAGCTGAGCCTTGCCAGGGTTCCCAGCCTAGAGAAGGGTGGCTATATTTGGAGTAGAGGACTGGCCCAGGGAAGACTTGATTGGTGAGGGTTCCTAGAGAAGTTTGCTCTAGAAACAACAGAAGAGGGTAGGCCTGCCCTTCCTATCCACAGGTAAGCCTTCAATTACAAGGACAGGATACCCCTCCCATACCCTCTTTGCCCTCATAGGTACGGAGCAGGCATCCCAGCAGCAGAAACCATCTGAAAGGCAGAAGAAAAGCAGCAAGAGCTGAGACTGGGCACCAGACAAGATGGTCACACATCTGCCTTTATTGTGAGCAGTAGGCAGGGTACTTCCAGCAATAGTAAAAAAAAAATTAAATTACAAAAGCAGAGATTCAGTGAAGCTGCCTGGTTGGAACCTGAAAGAGAAGAGGGGTATCAAAATGAGACCAAAGAGCCTCCTTTTTACCAACTTTTCTTACTGGGCCCCTATGTCCCGGAGAAAGGGCCGACGGGCACACTCCTTTGAAGCTAAGCCACCAGAGCCAAGTCTCATGACCTATTTGCTGGATTATGTGCAGCAAGGTTTTTTGTTTTTCTTATATCACTTAGTCAACATTTATTTCAATGGCTGAAAACATTCAGACTAATTAAAACAGTACTCCTTGCAGCAAATTTTAAGTACCAGTCCCTGACTCACTTCTGGCCCAGACCCCAGCAGCCTCTCCAAGTTACTGGTGTATGACATGTAAGAATGAAAATGTGGCCCTGGCTGGTGTGGCTCAGTGGATTGTGTGCCAGCCTGCGAACCAAAGGGTTGCTGGCAGTCCACGTCTCCAGTATGGGTGATTGAGAGGCAACCTCATATTGATGTTTCTCTTCCTCTCTTTCTTCCTCCCTTCCCCTCTCTAAAAATCTAAAAAAGAAAAACAAAAACAAAACAAAATGGAAATGCATAACCATGAGAAGCCTGTGTCCACAGCTGTGTAGTACACCCCAAAGCCAGATCAAGGCCCTGGGCAGTGTACTGAATTTAGAACTTACAAAGTAGGTCACACTTGGCTCCAACCCCCATTAGGCACATGGACAGAGGCACATGTGTCTGGTGTCCCTATCCATTCTGCTGAGTCTGCCTCCATTAACCAAGGGATTGTGAAGGCCTGAGGACTGCACTGATACAGGTGTGGAAAGTTTTGCAGTGTCCCACCCTGTCACAGCTCTTACCCTTGGGAGCTCACACGTAGATGCCGACCCACAGCAGCAGGAAGAGGACCCCAAAGCCCATGAAGAGCGAGGCCACCAAGGAGATGAGGAGCTCTTTGTAGATGTCGCGTGTGTACTTGGTAGAGGTGACTTCATAACTGGCACGGTGGTTAAGGAGAAGCAAAGAGATGGACTGCACAGAGCACTGCGACTCGGGGAGAAAGATAGGGGCTGCTGGCTTTCTGGGGGTTTGTCTGGCTTGCTGCAGCCAGGCACAGGGGCCCAAGAGACGACCTAGACTGTTACTCCATACTACCCAGGAAGAAAATGAGGCCCAGAGGGGTTAGGTGACTTGCACCAGGCCATGCAGCTAATGAATGGTGGAGCTAACCTAGTCCTCAGATCTCCTGACACCAAAGGGCATCCCTCCTTATACCACTTTTTTAACTTCAGATTTACCCCCAGCCTCGAGTCCAGCCAGGCCCTCAGCTTACTGTCCTAGAAATCTGAAGAGCAAACTGAGCTCACTTGCATTTGAAAAATGAGGCCACAACCTGACCTTAAACATCAACAGTCTACCCTCGACCTCCCTACTTTTTTCCAATCCCACATCAGGACAAATGGGCAGGGTGCATGTACCTAGCATGGTTTCTGCCTCAGTTTCCCTTATCAGTAGTTCTGGCCCACTTGCTGCTCAGGGGAAGGATACACGAAGAACCAGGCGGTGAAGAACATACCAATGGCCAACAGTACCACGGTCAGATGGGGGAAGACAGCTGGGTTCACTGGGCTGGTATATCTGCTCATGGCCTCGAGCTCCTAGGGGAAGGCATGAGATTAGAGCCATGAAAGACTTCAACCTGGTGGATTAAGGGGTTATTAAGGAATTTCATGCTGCTGTGACTGCTTAAGGCCTGCTTCAGCCTGGGAAATATGGAAATCCTTCAGCACCAACATCAAGTGATTCAATTTGGGAATGACAACAATTAGCATTTGAAATTAAAGTGGCACTCTTTTTCAGTAAGAGACAAGTGGCTGAGATTCAGAGGCTAGAACACAACAGGTGACTAATTAGCTATAAATCAATGGCCCTTAATATTTTCTGAGGCTACTGGCCACTATGAAAAAAACCATGTAATAAAAGATATGGCCTCTCTGGCCGAGAAAAAGCACATAAAACAAAAAGTCTGCCTATAACTTTAGGAGCTTTATGAACCAGTACCTAGATCTCAAATTCTAATTCTGTAATATTCCCACTACACTATTATGGAATCTCAGAATCTACAGGCAAAAGGCATCAGTTTAAATTCTGACTCTAGTGAATTACCTGAGTTTCAGTCAAGGAGTTATAACATCTCACAGGGTTGAGGTATGACTTAAGAAAGATAATGAATGTCAAAGCATCTGGCTACTGCGTGGCGGTAGTTATTCAATAGGTGTTTGTTTCCTTCCCAAAGTTTAGGGAAGATTATGAGGTAATGCCCGTGAAAGAGGGCTGTAAACATACAGTTCTGTACAAATGTTAACTTCCATTGTCACCCGCCAGCCAACGCTTCAAAAATCCTGAACATAACAACCCTAAAGAAGTAAATCGACCCCATTGTTCTAAGAGACGCTGGAATTCGGTAAACACTTATCCCCCATCCCCCAAATGACAGACAATTACTGCCATTTATTGAGCCACCAATTGCAGGCCCTGTGTTTGGCACTGGGAATACAAAGATGAATAGACATCATTTCAGGACTAGGAGCACGTCAGATGGTGGTCATTAGGAGGCGTGACAGATGACAATGAAGTCCAGGACACGTGGCAAGAGAGGTCTGGTCTCTACGGACGCTGTGGGAGCTCCTGGGAGAGGCCAACTGCCTGAAAGAGTTAGAAATGCTTCACCAGGAAGATGACATTTCCCCAAGGCCTTGCAGAACAAGTACGAGTTTGGCAGGGGGAAGAAACGTCGAGACAGAAAGAACAGCTTGATCACAAGTAAGAGAGATAAAAGCTCCAAGGTATTAAAAATGCACCTCACGCGCCCCACCCTTAACACTGGGGAGATCAAAACAGCCTCATGAGTCCATCGCAAGGGGCTTCCTTTGCCCGCCCCTCAGCCCAAGCCGGAGGGTACTGGAGCCTCCGGCGATCTGGATCCCGGGCGCCCGAGGCCTCTGCGGGAGAACGGGAGTGTGGGACGGGCCCTGAGGGGTCCTCACAACCCTGTGGCAAGCTCCCTTCCACCACCTCACCATTTTGCCAGGGAGAGGGTGAACCGCTGCTCCGCCACCGGAAAAACACGTCGGCAGGAGCCGGCGCGCTGTTCAGACGGAAGAGGATGTGGCACCCGCGCAAGTGGCATTGTGGGACTTGTAGGGTCACGGAGAGAGTCCGCCCGCTTTGCCGGGACTGTGCGCCCTGAGAGGAGCCGGCCGAAGGGACGAGCCTGCACTACACTTCCCAAGAGGCTGTGCGCAGCGGCGAGTCACGTGACGCGAGCGCGGGCTTTGGAAGGCGGTGGAGCGAGAGAAGACCCTCGGGCGATCTGAGGCGGGAGCTGGACTGAGGACTGTCCTGGTCGACACTGGACCAAGCGTTAGCTGCCGAGGCCTCGCGCTCCTAAGGCCAGGTGAGACCCCATGGGAAGCGTCTCCGCGAGTGGCGGGGCCTGCTTTGCGCTTGGGGGCTCTCGCGGGCTGGCTGCCGCGCAGGGCGGAGGCGCGAATGCTCTGCCGCCACTTTTCCGCTGTGGGACGGGGGCTAGTCGCGTAACCGCCGAGCTTCTTTATTCGTTTGTGGAAAGGGGATAATAACTCCACCTCTTGGGATCGTGGTGGAGTATTTTGACTAAGACCGTGATGAGAAACAGTTTCACACTTCGCTTGTTGAGACCTCGCTGTTGGATGCTGTGGCAGGATAGCCGGGTAACAAGGCATTGTCCTCTCGGTACACGTTCCAGCAAAGCCGCCAGCTTGAGGCGGGAATCAAAGCGTTGCGCGGGTGCTGGAGGGGAGAACGTTTGCCGAGCACCGAGTGCGTGTCCGGAGCTCTTCAGCTATTACTGCAGGTGACCCTGGGAGTAATTATGCACGGTGGCCATGGTGTTCATCTTATTTTATACATGAGGAAAACCAAGCTTACATGGCTGAGTAATGTCACACGCGAAGCGACTTGGTGATGCCACACAGATGGTAAATGCTGACGTATATATTCAGGCCGTTGCCATTCTCTGGGGAACTACTAGGAGGTGGACCTTGAAGAAGGGCCTCGCAGAGGATGGCGGGTGGAGGGCACAGCTGAGCCAAAGTGAGAAAATGCAGGCCTTGTTCCAGCGTTTTTTCACTGGGTCCCACCCAGACTGAAGGTAGGTGGAGAACCAGATCATTGAAGATCTTGATGCCCATCCTGAGGTATTTGAACTTAATTAGAAGGAGAAGTGTAACAGGATCATTTTGCTTTATTTAGGAGGAACCCTGTGAAGGAAGAATGGGAACAATTAGAAGGCCTAGTACAATATTTCATAGTGTTGGATACGTGCCTTGCAGTGGGCAAAAAAAATCCTTTTTAGTAGTTAAACATTTAACACATATTAAAATAAAACTGATATAACAGACATTGCTTAAGATGAGTTCTCCTTTTCAAGTTATCTTAGTTTTTTGTTTTCATTTTTTTTTTTAATCCTCACCCAAGGACATTTTCCCATTGCTCTTTAGATAGAGACAAAGTTGAGAGAGGTAGGGAAAGAGAGAAACATCAAATGTGAGAGAGAAGCATTGCCTGCTGTACACGCCAAGACTGGGGACTGGGGATTGAACCCACAATCCTTTGGATAGGGGACAACGCCCCAACCAACTGAGCCACACCGACCAGGGCACATTATCTTAGCTTTTAAACAGTGGTATCCGTTTCATGAAAATTTCAAGTGAATGAAAGTACAGGTTTTGATGTGTGTGGTTTGGGCCTGACTGAAGTTTTGTGAACAGTGCCCTAGGAAACATTTGTTAAGGGGCCTGAACCACAGAAATGCAATACTGGCCTGAGTGACTAGATCAGAGCCTGGGGTGGGGTAGGAGCCAGGGATTTCACACTTCAGATTTAGTGGTGGAGGGAACGTACAAGGGAAAGACTTAAAACTAGGAACATCATGGTAGAAGTAGAAACTGAAATGCTGAGGGCGACACTGGAGGGAGATTAGTGCTATGTGGGAGAAAGCCATTCTTCAAGACTGCTATACCAGTCAGGGTTCTCCAGAGAAAAAGAACACATAGATATATAGGATATTGGTCTGAAGAGACTTATTTTAAGGAATTGGCTCACATGTTTGTAAGAGTTGGCAAATTTGAAAATTGTAGGGCAGGTTGGCAGGCTGGGAACTCAGGCAGGAGTTGATGCTGCAGTTTTTTGTTTGTTTGTTTGTTTGTTTGTTTTTTTTATGCTGCAGTCTTGAGGCAGAATGTCTTCTTCAGGAAGCCTCAGTTTTTGCTGTTAAGGTTGTTCAGATGATTTGTATGAGGCCGACCCCCATCATGGAAAGCAGTCATCTTTACTTAAAGTCAACTGATTATAGATGTTAGCTACATCTACAAAATACCATCACAGCAACACCTGGATTAGTGTTTAGTTAAATAACTGGATACCATGGCCTAGCCAAGTTGACACAGAAAATGAACCACAACCGCTAAGGGAATTGAGGTTGAGGAATGAGTTGGGGAGGAATGAATGTGGTTTTCAGGTATTGACGAGAAGATGGATACTCCTGTTTATTTTACTACTTTATACATTCAGTCGTGTATTATGGTTGCTTTGGTATCTGTCACATCTCACCTTTGTCTAACCAGTATTTGCCTGTCCTTCAGGACTCAGTTCTGCCTTCGTAATTCCCTAAGCTTCTCAAGTTGGGCCAGGCACTCTCTGGATTTGCATGATCCTTGCTGAAGATGTCTTTTGTAGCTCTTACTGCATGCTAGCCTGATTGCTGCCTTACCCACATTTTAAGTCCCTTAAGGACATCAACAGCGCCTTATTCCTCTTAGTACCCAGTTCAGTTACACTCAGGAAGCCTTAATTAGTATTAATTGAGTGGAGTTCCTTGCTAGACTGGAAGTTTCTTGGCAGTGGAAACTTTGTATTATTCATCTTTTCATCTTCTGCATTGCTGACTTCATGTCCTTTTTGTGCTAGGTTTGTTTAGCTGAAGGTATGAAGTTGGTGAGATAGCACCAATTATAACTTTTTTTTTTGTATCCTTTATGTTCCTCCTTGTCTCACTTTCCTTTCTTTTTTAGCTGTCACTCCTCTGTATTGCTATGGGTATTCAAGGCCTGGCCAAACTGATTGCCGATGTGGCCCCCAGTGCCATCCGGGAGCATGACATCAAGAGCTACTTTGGCCGTAAGGTGGCCATTGATGCCTCCATGAGCATTTATCAGTTCCTGATTGCTGTTCGCCATGGTGGGGATGTGCTGCAGAACGAGGAGGGTGAGACCACCAGCCACCTGATGGGCATGTTCTACCGCACCATCCGCATGATAGAGAATGGCATCAAGCCTGTGTACGTCTTCGACGGAAAGCCGCCACAGCTCAAGTCAGGTGAGCTGGCCAAACGCAGTGAGCGGCGGGCTGAAGCAGAGAAGCAGCTGCAGCAGGCTCAGGATGTTGGGGCAGAGGAGGACGTAGAGAAGTATACCAAGCGGCTGGTGAAGGTCACCAAGCAACACAACGATGAATGCAAGCGTCTACTGAGCCTCATGGGTGTCCCGTACCTTGATGCACCCAGTGAGGCAGAGGCCAGCTGTGCGGCCCTGGTGAAGGCTGGCAAAGTCTATGCGGCAGCCACAGAGGACATGGATTGTCTGACCTTTGGCAGCCCTGTGCTGATGCGGCACCTGACTGCCAGTGAGGCCAAGAAGCTGCCCATCCAGGAATTTCACCTGAGCCGGATTCTACAGGAGCTGGGCCTGAATCAGGAACAGTTTGTGGACTTGTGCATCCTGCTGGGCAGTGACTACTGTGAGAGCATTCGGGGCATTGGGCCCAAGCGGGCTGTGGACCTCATACAGAAACACAAGAGCATTGAGGAGATTGTGCGTCGACTTGATCCCACCAAATACCCCGTGCCAGAAAATTGGCTCCACAAGGAGGCCCAGCAGCTCTTCCTAGAGCCTGAGGTGCTAGACCCAGAATCTGTGGAGCTGAAGTGGAGTGAGCCAAATGAAGAAGAGCTCGTCAAATTCATGTGTGGTGAAAAGCAGTTCTCTGAGGAGCGAATCCGCAGTGGGGTCAAGCGGCTTAGCAAGAGCCGCCAAGGCAGCACCCAGGGCCGCCTGGAAGATTTCTTCAAGGTGACTGGCTCACTCTCTTCAGCTAAGCGCAAGGAGCCAGAACCCAAGGGATCTGCTAAGAAGAAGGCAAAGACTGGAGCAGCAGGGAAGTTTAAAAGGGGGAAATAAATGTTTCCCTTCATTATACCTCCTTGACCCCAGAATGTCTGCCTTGGACTCTCAAGAGCTAGTACTAGAGAAACCTCCATGCGGTCAGGGAAGGGATTGCATTGCGCCCCCGGCACTACCTTTCTCAGTAGTGCTTTTCCCTTTTACTTGATCTTACTTCAGGAAGGCCACAGAAGTACTTTGTTTTCTTCTTTTTTAGCTCAGGAAAGTAAGTCAGGTCAAATCACCTTTCGGTCAATTTAATAGGCACTGAATCCATTGTTCCATAAAAATGATAGTAACAAGTTTTGAGGAAGGGAGGAGAGAATAAATGGTGGAGACAAAAAACTGTATGGAAGTGATTTCCTGGCTGGTCAACTGTTGGCCAGTGATGGTGGAACCTGACTGTTTCTCTCTGGTTCAGCTTTGACTTACCCTGAAGGATAGACAGCAGGAAGATTCAGTCTTACATCAATAGGAAGAGTTACTGAGAAATAAAACAGATGGAGAGCTGAAGTCCCTGGAGTGGGAGACATGGGTTTGTTAACTGGCTGTGTGTCCTGTGGTGGGCAGAAACTTGAACTTGTCATGTAACTTGAATCTTTAGTTATTCAGAGGTATATGGTGGCTTAGTTCTCATGCCCTCTCTGAGGCAATCAGCTGAATTGGGACTTGATGCTATTGTCATGTGCTATTTTTGTTTTAAATGTGTGAGAAGAGTCAAATAAAATTATAAAAGTATGCAGAATGTAGTATTTTCACTCTAAGATAGCATGCTGGAATTGTACCCTATGAACAGGTGGTTTGAGCATGGCCACAAGATGGCGCCATGCCCCATTGAATGGCCAAAGCAACTTGGGTGGTGCCTCGGCCATTTGGAGGAGGATGCAAGTTTATCTGGCTAGGAACAGAATTCATTTTCCACCTACTGTGTGAAATAAGGAGTTCCTTTGAGAAAACCTCACAGTTTAGATCAGCAATTTGTAAACTGTGAAAGCTGCCATTCAAAAATCACTTGTTCTTTTTTTGACATCACATTTAGTTTGCTATTTCTCATACAGATAGGATGTGTTTGTACTTTGCAAAATCTTGATCAAACTTGGTGGGGAACTGACCTGTTTCAGTTTATAATTTCTTAATATTCCTATCATTGCCATTTGAAGTTAAGGACATTGGGTGGTCTGAAATTAAAAGTTGACATTTTTACAGATTAAGCAGGTGGAAGACCAAAAATCAATGGTTTTCACAGTTTTTAATGGAGCAACCTACTTTTCAAATGAAAATCTTATGCAGAATCTCAGGATATGAGAGTTCCTCTGGCTGAAGTATAAATAGGATAGCTGTAACTAGGGGATGCTGAAAACCACTGGTGTGGAAAGTTCTATCCTGAGGGCAGGAGTTTGTTTTGTTCATTAACCTTCCCAGTTGATGAATAAAACCACTTTTTCCCAGGTTATGCTAAGCCACACCCTTAATTTGAGCTCCATTTTCTGATTCCATAATTTGATTCTAAGCCTGTGGTAGTGGTGATGGGTCCTAGAGGTGGTAAGAGATCAGAGATAACCTCTTTTGACCTCTGGGACAGGACAAACTTTTTATTACCATCTGCTTTTCTTCTGCAATGACCCTTTGAACCCCAAGGCACCTTACCTAATTCCTAGCTCAGAATGTCTTATATATCCATGTTCCCTTTTTATTGCTGAACCTCTAGGGCACGTGGAGTCTTATGTATGTGGAGGTCTCATACATACTTGTTAAATTTGGTTATTTTGTCTCGCTAATTTCACATCTGTTTGATTAGAGCAGCTAGGACAACCTTGAGGGTAGAGGAAAGTTTTCTCCCCAGCTTCATAGGAGTTACTGCCTCAGAGCAATAGCTCTAGTCCCTGTGGTAGACAAGCACATCAAGTGGTTTACCTTCCTCTTGCTTTTTGAAGTTGAATTGCCTAGTTTTTTCTAGATGTTTATTAACCACTGCACACTGCAGGGAAAATTTATTCTGTTGCAAATTTTTAAGCATGTTCTAATATTCTTGCTCAAAGATTGCTATTCTAGGATGGAGGTTAATAAGGCATTGCTTTGTAGTGGGCATTGTGCCTGCAGAGAAAGATTTAGGCAAAATGGAGCCGTAAAGGGACTACCCATATTAAGACTAGAAATGAGTTAAAGGGTGAGGCCATTGCCTCATAATAGGAGGAAGGAATGCATGTAAAACCTGTCAAGTATATCTAGCATTTGAACATGGGTATCATGGAAAGGGGTTGGTTTTTCTTGTCCTTGGCATAGTCCACCTGTGTTCTGGTGTTTTCTGCAGGTCCTGATGTTCCTTCCCCTGCCCAAGGGGCTGTGCGGGGACTCATGTTCAGAAAGAAGTCACCGCCATAGAGGTAGACAATAACTTAAAGCATAGGCACAGGGAGCCCTATTGACATGTGCAGAGGAGCATTGTGTAGTACAAGGGAATAGCCTTCATTTGGTCAAAATTAACTTTATTTTTCAGCTTTATTTCATTGGAATGTGTTAACAAAATTGGCACATACCAAAAGGACACTGATACTGGGCTTAAGAAAATGCCTATGGCCAAATGGTAGGAAGAAAGTAACTAGGACAAACAAAGAAGTTGGGAGTTTTTCAAAAGTGAGTTCAGATGTTAGTTCTGCCATGATCTGTGACTGGAGGCAACTCGTCCTAAGTCTGTCTTCTCATCTATCATTAGATTTGAGGTTACTTATGCAGTTTGACCCTTTTGTCACTGGTATGTAACTTTTTGGCCATGTGAGACCACACTGGTGTAGGCTAAGGAAAGAAGGCCACATGTTAGAGGTTCTTTGAGGACCTGGACTTTGCTTAATAAGCTTCAATGGGTTTGCTCCGCCTAGGCTGAAAGCCGTAGAGCTTGATGGGCTCATGACACCACACCAAAACCTTAGGTAGCAGGGAATGGAGAGATGAAGAAGGATCAGCACCTTTTCTGAAGTGAGGAAGCCACTGAGTATAGAACTCTTCAATTCTAATTTAAACCAGGTTCTGCTGAAATGAAAAAGATCTGAACTCCTCTGCAACCTGTTCTCCCCCATCTTTTTAAATTTGTTTTGACAAACCTCTGCGTAATCACGACACCCTTTCCACAGGTGGTGCCTCTAGTCCCATCCCAACCTGCCTTAGGACCCTTGATCTCCCTGATTCCCCTTCTCTCCCAACACTAAATGCAACTCTTCCAGGGCTTTGCTTTGTCCTAGTTTGAGGTTCGTTTCTCCCAGTGTCCCACATGCTCAATATGCCTGTGGTAGATGATGGTGAACAGGCGAATAACCCTCTCAACTGGACTGAATGGCCATGGTTATGGGGAGGAAAGAGGATATGAATGCTGATGACAAGCCCTGGAGTGAAGGTGGGACTCCTGGGGCACATTTTTATGTTAGCTCTGGAGATGGGTTAAACTGTTTTTATCCTTTAAAAATGAGATTTTAACAAATTGCATTTCAGTATTAGAAGACTGAGAGATTATCCTAAATTCCTACCTGGTCTCCAGCAGAGAAAGATACTTGAACAGAGCTGACAGAGTAAGGTGCCTGAGACAGCAACAAGTGATCACAAACTTCTGTGTCTTTATCTTCCTGTTTCTGGTTTAGAACTATGAAGTGATTACATTTAACTCCACTGCTCCTGCTCTAAAGTAATGCTGTAAATTTATGTTAAAACTTATTACAGCCCTTAGATCCTTTATGAGCGAACTTGTGTTTTCCTCATGACTGGTAATTCAGTATCACCTACCTTGGTCACTATGCTCACTGACTGCTATTGTATTAAACTTGGAATTAAAGGTAGGGAAGCTAAAGGAAACCATTGGGAGCCCTCATTTGTTTCTAAGGAGAAAATTAAATTGCCCATCTGCTCACTTGTTTATGGAGCAAGAAGTGGACTCCCTGTCATAGTTTTTTTGCCGCATGTGTGCTGGTTAGAAGAGGCAAATCAAAAGCTGAGGGGAGTTTTAATGGCCAGTAACTGCTAGCCATTTGGCAAGACCCCAGACCTAATGTTCCCTTGATACTTTGGATGGAACATGGAACCAAAATCAGTAGTGGGAGGAGTATCTTTGGGGGCAGATGTCTTAACACCACAGTCCTGGCCTTTGCCCTGCCTGTTTCTACAAATGGAGAACTTGCTTCTCCAGTAGCCTGAGGCAAACTGATGATAGTCCTAAAATGGGCTGGGCTCCCAGGTACTGGGTGGATTCTCTTGATTTCTGGGCTCGGCTGGTCCTCCCTATTCTAACACATTCCTGACGCCCTCTTTGCTCACCAACCACCTGCATCTGACATAAGAAAAAAAAGGAGAAACAAAATTCACATCCCTGCCCTAACAGTTCCATCCCTTCTTCCAGGGGGCTTGCATGTCCCCTGCCTCTTTGCATCATAGACCTGCTAAAGATAAAGGGGAGGAATTTGAGCCAGAGCCTGTATCTCAAACCAACCCCCTCTTAATATTAGAATTGTAGTGGCACTGTCCCTCAAGTTCCCCTCTGCTTTGGCTCCAGAGGCTCCTCTTCCAGATGAGGAGCTGTTGTTACTGATGAAGATAGGCATCTAGCCAGAGTTGCCCAGACTCCTTCAGTGAGCTGCAGAGACAAGATGGGAGCAGGCAGTGAGGCAGGGAGAAGCTGAGCCCCAAAGCCAAATCACCCACCAGAAATGTAGTGGGGAAGCTCTACAGAGGTTTGGAAGTCCATCTTCATGATGTAAGGCCCCCTTCCATGTGAATACTTTCCTCCCCTTTGGGAAACAGCTTGAGCCATGGCACTGAGAGCAAAGGACTGACCTGGCCACAAGACCAAGAGTACCCTGCTTTTGCGTTGGTGACCTCCATTCCATTGGGGAAATCTTCCCATGGCTCCAACCCTACACTTCACCACCAAGCCCACTGCCCTGTCCTCTTCCTGTGCTACTAGTCATCTTCCCAGGTTCAGATACTCACTGAACAATGTCTGCGAAGGCTGAGAGCAGGGGCTTGGACTGGTATTCTATGCCATGCTTGGCACACAGGGACTGCACCAGGGGAGCCACTTTGTGGTAATTATGTCGAGGCATCGTGGGGAAAAGACTTCAGGGAGAACAAGGAACAGTCAGTGGCTCCTACATTCTGCTCCCACCTACCCCCCGTACATGGACCCTGCCCAAGACCCTGCTTCCCAGATCTCCCTTCTTACTGGTGCTCAATTTGGAAGTTGAGATGTCCACTGAACCAGTCATTGAAAGCAGACTTGTGGACGTTGCATGTTGCCTGGAGCTAGAGGGAAAGGGGAGGGAGAGAGCATGGCTCTGAATACCAGATGCAAAGGCCAGTCCAGCCCTCTCTAGGTAAGGCTGTCTGAGAGGAGGGTCTGTGGGACTGTCCCTGGCCACTCCCTTCTCCACATGGTAATAGGAAGCAGCTTCAAGTTAATGACGCAATGCTGCAGGAACTTATGTTGTTAGTGCTCCCCTGAACCCCCTGGCCTGCATCTCTGCCCACCCACCTTTTTTTTTTTTTTATGTTGTGTCATGCCTGGGTCTTCCAAGAGACCGTCCCTTACCTGGGTGGAGACCCAGTCCCTGTTCTGATCATGATCAATGTGCATGGGGATATGGTTCATCTGTGTCACCCACACAAACCAGTTGCTTTCCAGGAACCTGGTGGGTATAACACACAAATAAAAACAGGACAAGTAGAGCCCAGAGTTCTTGCTCTCCTTTAGATTATTGCTCCAGTCTGGTCACCTTCCTGAGCCAAGGCCTGAAACACACCCGCTACCCAAAGCTGCAGCACAGTTCCCAGACCAGACTGGTTACTCCCAAATTTCATTTCTTTGCCAAACCCTACTCCCCATGTAATACTACCTGACCATGAAGAAAAGGCCCAGGAAGCCTTTCAATCCTAACAATGGCACATAAGTGATGAAGATGCGGACATAGAAGGTGATCATCCAGGCAAAGTCCTGCAGTGAAAGGCAGAGAGCATTACAAATGGTGCAAATTCACTTTTCACTTTACCTATTTCTTTGCATGGTGTGACCATTCTCCTGGGTATCCATACTGGAACACTGAGTCATTGTTAGCATCCCTCTCAGTTGCCCAATCCCATAGTTTCTAGTGCTACTGCTCCTTTTTTCCATCCCTGGAGGCAGCCCATCCCTCCTTGCCTGTTTCCTTCACAGGCACCACAGCCTACAGGATCTCCCTGCCTCTAGCTCCTCCCAACCCATCTAAGTCCTTCATCTCTTCACCATGATGCCAAATGAATCTTCCAGCACCATGGCTCGGTCCATGCCAGCACCCTGATCAAATCTCCAATCACTTTTCTGTACCATGCCCCTCCCCTGACACTTGAGTCCTCCACAGACTGTCCAGTGGAAAACTCACCCCTCACTTCCAAGCTTCTCTGCTCAGAGTCCATCCTCCCTCCACCCTACCTCTGTCTTGTATACCCAGTTAGAAAAGTGACTTAACAAAGCCTCTTCTGATGCCTCTCATCCAGCTGATGTAGTCAAGCCCCTTTTGGAATCTCAGAACCTGCCTATACCTCTTCTCTGGTGTCAACTACATTTTGCTTCATCAGAAGTTTCCTGAGAGTAGGTGCCGTCTCTTACTCATTTTCCCCACTCCCCAGCCTGCCCTGGCTTTAGGCCCAGTACAGGAACCTCAGGAAATACTGCTGAATGATACAGGACATTGGGAAGCAGGTTGTCTGCTGAGCCCAAATCATCCTACCTAGAGCTATACCTGGTTCTATCACTTCACTCTAAAGTAGGCCTGGAGTAAATCTCAGTCGATTTCCCCTGGAGAATAACTTTCCCCTCCCTCGGGGTACTAGAGACAAAGGAAGTGGGACTTTTGGGCTCTGGATACTCACCACCCACTTCTTCCGCTGGATAACAAAATAGAAAATATACCACTGGAAGTAGAGAGGCAGCAAGGCTGGGGGCCCAACTGGGGAGGAAATGGAGACAGGGAGGAAGTGTGAGCAGCACGAGGGTCACTAAAGGGCTGGTTGGTGCTGGATGGATAGCGTCTAGCATCTCTGCCATCTCCTGCCTTTCCAGCTGCCTTTCGTTGGAACCAGCAGGCACTGAAGGTGGGCATAAATGCAAGTCTGAAGAAGGCAAAATCTCCCAAGGGGATGCCAGGACAGTGAGGGGTGGGAGTGGCAAGCTTTTCTAGTGACAGAGGACAGCTAGGGAAATCCAAGCTCTACACATGGAACTTGCTCTGCTCCCATGTCCCTACAAGGGCATGGCTAATTCTCCCCAAGTTGTCCTGGCTGCAGCCCTGCCCCTGCCAGGGATCTTCCTACTGCCCCTACACCTATCCTTGCAATCTTCTGCCCTATATTCCTGGCTGCTCAACCATGCAGGTGAAGGGACAGGAGCAAATAGTGAGAGAGAGAGAGAGAGAGAGAGAGAGAGAGAGAGAGAGAGAGAGAGAGAGAGAGAGAGAGAGAGAGAGAGAGTGTGTGTGTGTGTGTGTTTGTGTGTGTGTGTGTGTGTGTGTCTGTGTTAGGGGATAGGGAGCCCTGCTGTTCCTTCACAGGCCGAAAGCTCACTTCCTTGGACTTGGGAAATGAGTTTGTGGCACCCAACCTGAAGCCCCAGAGGTCGGCTGTGAGAAGGGGCAGAAGTGCTTCTGATAACACTGGGAATTGAAAAAGTGGACCACGTCCAATGCTACCCCATTTCCTTTTTTGTATCTCTTCTCTGCATAACCTCCACATTGCAATGCCTACCCATAGCTCCTCTATCCTGAGGTGTCATGAATTCCAACAGTCTTTCTTCTGGACATTTCTGCTCCACCCCCTACCTTATCCCCTTCTCCATTAGGGATGGTTGGTAGTAGGCAGTTAGGGTAAATTCCTTTGGACTAAAATGGAATCAATGAAATCACCCTCTCCCTTCCTTTAAAAATGTGAACTTTTTAAGTTTTAAAACTCAAAGTTTAAGCATTATGGAGCAGATTTTTTTTAAAGGAGGGAACATAGAGCAGTCTTCAGAAAGCGCTTAAGACAACTACAGAAATGTTTTCTCCTTTCTCCCACAGCTCCTCCAATTCCTCTTCTGGTCCAAACCTCCATAGCTATATCTACAAGTCCTTGGGGGGTGGACTGCACCCCACTGGGTCACCTTGACCCAGGTCTCTGTTTAACAAGGTTCCAGGTGAGGTTTAAGGCTAATCAGGATGGCTATACCTGACCACTCAGTTCTCTTGTGGAAGCCAGGGCAGGACAGGAGGAACTGGTCTGCCCCCAGGACAGATGGCTTTTGACTAAACATTAGCCTAACTGTTGACTTTGCTTAGTTGAGATGGTAGATTGCTCCCAAGCAGGGAGTAATCTTTTGGGATGGAGTACTTCCTCCAGCCTTTACCTAAACTTCTGTAATCCCTTGGAAAGTCATTTTCTCCTCACATCCCTTCAGGACCCCCTCCCAAAGGAGTCCCCCTATATCGGAAGGGAATACTCACTCAAGAAGAAGTATTTGTGCTGGTGGTTGTATGGCATGTACTTTTTCTTCTGTTTCCCAAGCTGTGAAGAAAAACAAATGCAAATCAACATCCACACACCAGTCACCCATTTCCCTCCCCCTTTGACCTTGGCTGTTCTCTGCTCAGGAGTCTAGGCCTACTCTAGGGGTTTTCAGCTTGTTGATACTATTGAAAGGCTCCAGCAGGCCCAGTCTTACCTCTAGCACCTGGCACATGAAGCCCTGGGCTTCAATCTGCTACATGTACCAGCCTCACCACGGCATGCAGCCCAGTGGTCCCTTTCCACGAGATGCATACACAACAGTTCAAGTCCTCAGGACTCCGCACATTTATCAAAAGACAACTTTCGTCACAAGGTTTCCAGTCCCCTCTACCTTCTTCCCTTCCTTTCTCCCATCTGGTACCTTTCTGACACCAAAGTCTCCATGGAAAACCATTTTTACTGCTACACCTCAGTATTCCCTCTACATCCACCCCTGATATAGCCCATCAAAATATTTTTGGTCTCTTGACTTTAAAATGAGCTTTATAAATCCCTTGAAAGCTAAGCAAAGTTTGGCAATTTGAAGATGGCAAGGTTTTTCCCAGCAGGTGGTGGTTATTTTGTAAGCCTACCTGGTGAAGAGATAGGCTGGGGCTGCCAGGTCAGCCAACCAACGTGCAACCTCTAGCATGAGTGCACAGAAACATGACAGCAAAGCTCTGCTGTCTAAGTTGATGGCCTCTTCTGCTCCTCTTGCCCCACTTAGTTTTGGCAACCAGGGAACCACAGGGCAAAGAGGAACTCCATCCAGAGCAAAATGCCTGCTCATTTTTCTTTCATAAGTCTACCCACTGTTTTGACAGGTCATTTATTAAGAGTTTATTATGTGCAAGGCACTTCTGCTAAATGAAGCATTCTTCCTCTATTAAATGAGTTATTCAACAAGTATTTATTGAGCACATACCACGTGCCAGGCACTATTCTAGGTGCTGAGGATACAGAGGTGAACAGTACTGAGTCCCTACCCTCGTGGAATTTGTAACCTGCCACGAAGCTGGTGATAAATCTGTAAACAAGGCCCTAGCTGGGTGGCTTAGTGGATTGAGTGCCGGCCTGCAAGCAGAACGGTCACTGGTTCGATTCCCAGTCAGGGCACATGCCTGGGTTGTGGGCCAAGTCCCTGGCTGGGGACGCGTGAGAGGCAACTCATCAATGTATCTCTTATACATTACTGTTTCTCTCCCTCTCTTTCTCCCTTCCTTCCCCTCTCTAACAGTAAATTAAATCTTTTTTTAAAAGAAATCTGTAAACAGGACTCAAGGTAGTTATAGATTAAAAACAATAAAATGTAACAGTGTGAGGAAGGCAGTGTTTTAGCAGGGGTGGTCAGAAATGGCTCACTGAGGTGCTTCAATCTAAACTGAGAACTGAATGATGAGAACAAGTGAGCAATGTGAAGATTCAGGAGAACAGCATCTACTGCAGAGGGAAAAGCCAGTATAAAGGCTTGGGATATTCAAGGGACCAAGAGGCCGGTGTGACTGGCAACAGTAAGCAACAGGGGAGAATGGTTGAGAAGGCCAGAAAACTAGGGCTCGCCAAATCATGTCGGACCTTAGAGCGCCCTGCTAAGTCCATGGTGAGGAGTTTGATTTTACTCCAGTGGTGATGGGAAGCCACTGGGGAGCATTCAATGGGTGTGGCATGACCTGCTTTGTGCTTTAAAAGGCTGACTGGCAGTGGAGAGAATGAACTATAGGGGCAGGTATAGTCACAGGGAGACCAGTGAGGAGGCTGGAGCAATAACCTAGGACCTAGATGGACCAGACCTGGGGAGGGAAGCAATGGAGCTGAAGAAGTCGATGGGTCTGGGGCATGTTTTGGGAGCAGTACTACCAGGGCTTGCTGATGTAGGGATAAAGTTCATCCCACCCCAAGCAATGTTAACTGAGACGGGGAGAATAGAAGAGGAGCATCTGTCTTATGTGCTGGGTGGGTAGGGCAGAGATCTCCTCCTACTTTGAGACAGTTATGCCTCAAAGGGAGCCCTGTCCACTGTTGCCCCCTTGAATGGCAATCACATGCCATTATCCTAATAACTGCCCCACTGTGCTTTGACTCTTGGGAGCCAGAAGGGTTATGTTTAGGGTGAAGCGCCCCCTGTATCTCTTGTCCTCCAGGAGAGCTGGGAGGCCCTGAGGTAGAGCAGCACAGGGATCAATGCCCAGTTAAACAATACCCACAGAGGGTGAGTCAAGCTCTAAGCAGCCTGTAGCCTGGGCATTTACTAACATACAGGCAGCCTATCTTCAACCTCATAACTAGGCAAAAAAAGGGGAGGATTAGTTTGGTCACAGATCACTCTATTTTTAGTGTCTACAGATGGGAATTTCCTAAAACCCTAGTGCCAAGAAGCAACACTGGCATGGTGTGAGAAAGTTTTCTTCCACTTAGACTCTCACCTTTTTCAACTCCCTGTAATGATAACAGAAGTGCTACCAAGAGCTCCATGCTCTGCCTGATAAATAACCCATACTACCCGCAAAGCAGCCACCTGAGCCAGGAGGGGGCCAGGGTTGGTTTGTTATCCCCAGCATTGACTATAGCAGTGGGGGACATAAGTCCCTGTTTAGGAGGTAGGAAAATTAGGACATTACAGACAGGTGAGACACAGCTTCATGCTAGGGGCTCCTTGTGCCAGAACAGCCAGTGCTGCCAAAGCCTGGCCACAGAGTTCTTCTCCTGGCCAGAGGGGAGAGGGGAGCCAGGCCACCTTGAACTCATGCCTGGAACTGAACCACCTTTAATGACAGTTTAATTCTTGGCAGGCTGAAATGTCATAAAGTGGTGAAAGGGGACCTGGCAGAAATCTGACTGCAGCCTTGAGCCTTGGGACAAAGGGTTTTACATTAACTTTTCAGAGAACTCTGCAGGCCATTCAGAGCCCTCTGTTGTATTGTCCTCATTGAAAGCTCACCAGATGTCCACCCAAAGGCATTCTTCCTTTAGCAGCTGCATTACAATTCTTGCTCACAACCTCAGATAACAACTCAAACCCAACACTGACTGACCACCCTGGAAATGAGACTGGGATCAGGTGGGTGGGAGGAATTATTTGGTGCATGAATGTTCCAAGCACTGGGGGTCAAAAAGAGTAAGAGAGTCAAGCCCTTGATGGGGAAACCTGTGACACAGTAGGATATCAAAGAGTAAGAGAGAGGAATACAGAGCATGGGGCAGGGGAGATAACCGTCTGGGGTAAGAGTTTCAAAAAAGCATTGGAGGAGGGCCATCCATCACCTTCAAGGATGAGCAGGCATTTGCACAGTAGCCTGCCAGCTATCCTTTGGATACCTTTATACAATAACTATTTTCCTGATATGAACTCACTAGGAAGGACAGGTGATTCTGTTCGCAGCCCGTTTACAGCCTGTTGCCTCCCACAACTTCCAAATAGCCAGGCAGCCACCTCCCAATGCCTTCCCCACACTGACAGCATTGTGAGCATCTCCTCCAAAGCCCTCTATGCTGGCATATTTCCATCCTCCAAGACTTTTCCAGTGATAGCTCTGCTCACCTCCACAGAGAGGATCTTCCCCAAGGCAAAGAAGAAGGGGTGCATGTTGATGTCTGGGTCTTTGCGGAAGCAGTTGGGTTTGGCATGGTGCTGGAAGTGCATGTGGTTCCACCAACTGGCAGGGGCCCCCTATGGAAAAGTAGGGATGTGAATACGTAAGTTTAGTGTCCCTCTACCCCCCAAGTAGTCCTCATTAGCTAGAGTTTCAGGAAGGCCTTCCCCATCCCACTGACCTTCAGATGACCAATCACAAAATGATGTAGCAGGTGGTTCCATGTAGAGGTGCTGAAGACAGAGAGGTGCCCAAAGTCATGCTGCAGCCAGCCGGCCTGGGCCTGGGTGAGAAGGGTTAGTGCTGAGGGCAGCCCACCAGCCCAGCATCCTCTCACTGACCTCATCCACCTAGGCCTGTGATGGCTGCAGTACCCTTATTGAGCACTTTAAGAAGAGAGTTGGAAGCCTGGGCCTTAACCCTGGCTGTGGCACCAACTCACATGAGAGTTGGGTCAAAGCACTTTCCCTTCCTTGTCCAGTAGTTTCCCTGGCTCTGGAGATCTGTGACTTATGATGGACTGAACATCCAGACGACGGAAAAGGACAGAAAGTGACAAACTCAGAGGCTTGGCAAATGGTTTCGACAGCCAAGTATTAAATCCCAAGCATTATTAGGATGTTGGGCAGTCTTGTGGTGGGGAGGAAGCCAAGCTTTGCTGATAAACCAGAGTCTTGGTTCTTGGCATACTTGGGTTGTGGCAAGAACCTGAACAGCAAGAAGGAAACCCCAGGAGAAGCAGCTGGAGAGGCAGTGAGAGAAATGAAGGTGCACAAGTGGCTAACGAGCACAAAAAAGCCATGACAATGGAATGTCTGTTCTCTTTTTGCACCAAATCCCCTGCAGGTCCTTGGCTCTGCCCATCAGAGAGGGCACCTTGGCCTCCTGAGGGGTACAAAGAGCTTTTCCTAGGAATGCTGAGTACAGCTGTGCTCTTAAGCCACGGGCTCTCACCTGAACTGTGCTGAGCAGCACTGCACTAAGGAGGAAGGGCACAAAGGACGTTCCAAAGACCCAAAGAGTAAGCCAGGCAGCAACATCCAGCAGCAGGATGTGTAGTAGGTACAGCAGGAAGAACAAATGGTTGGCTTTCATAAGCCCCATCTTTTCCACTGTGGCCCGTAGCTCCCGGAACTCATCAGTCAGCTCTTTCTGAGAAAGAGAGAAGAGGGAGAGGCTATCCTTCCCAGCTGCAACCCAACCCTGCCCTTGAGTGACAAGGGCCCTCTTAGGCTTAAACACATCCACTGAGGGAGCAGTGGGAAAGTCCACTGCTAGGTAAAAATACCACAAGACTGAGGATGACAGGAGGAGGTGATAGAGCACGTGGACTTTGGAAGTTAGATTTGATTCAAATCCCTGCTCCGCCATTTACTAACAATTATGCTCCTTGGCCATGATGCTTAACTACTCTGAGCCTCAGCATTCTCATCTGTAAATGTTTGAGGAATATATGAGGTTATGCTTGGCACAGAGTAAGTGCTCAAGATAGGTCTCATATTTGGTGATGATGGTAATCATGGTGGCCTTGTGAGAACTGTGGGTTTCAAAGCCCTGCTCCCTTGGGCCTGTGACCCAGTGACTATGCAGAAGAATCAGGGACCTCGAGACTCCTAAGAACTACTGACTGTAGTTACCTATGATCCTGTCTAGGCCTTCTGTCTTCCCTCTGCCCCTCAACAATCATACAGTCTCCAAACAGCAAACAGGGTCTCACATTCTTGGTGGGCTCAAAGCTGGGCTGCTCCGGAGACAGTTCTCCAATCAGGAGAGAATTCATGTACTTCCTCACAAGGCCCTTGTTGATGTGGAATGCCACAAAGGGATCCTGCAAAGATGGGGAGAAGGCAAAACTGTGAGGAAGCCAGCCAAGACCCTCGAGGCTCTTGGGGTGCTCCCACCAAAGGTCATCTTCCTGATCCAGCAAGGAAGCTGTATCAAAGTTCTAAGGGACACCACTTCCCTCCAACCAGCTGCCCTTTAAGGGTGCTCATACCTTTTCTAGGAGTCCACAGCTCAGGATCACCCACCATCTATTGTCTAGTAAGAAGGGCACCACGCCAACCAATAGGAAGCATAGGTAGGGGGACCACAGAAAGACCTTTCCCAGCCTTTCCTCTGGGCGGTTCTAGGGACAGCTTTTACACATGAATTTCGGTATTGGTGAGTAACAGAAGGGATGAGAGGGGCTATGAGACTTCTCTTGTCTTTTTCTGTGGGACTGAAGCCCCTCTCTGTGCTAGGATTCTCAGTAAGTGATAAGGACTCCTTGTATCAGAACCGGGGAACTTTCTCCTTCCCTCAGGGCCCTGTTCTGGGTGGGCTTTCCATGGGAGCCCTAGCACTTTGCAAACACCCTGCCCCAGAACTGCCTTTTTTTTTTTTTTTTTTTTTTTTTTTTTTTTGAGGTGGGATCCTAGGTGATAAGATTAACAGTTTAGATCAGGAAGCCCCAGGCCCTGTAGGGAATCCACAGGAGAGGCGGGAACGGGGGCGGAGCCGGCAGCTGGTGGCGCCACACAGCCGGACCAATCGCCTTCCCAGCCCGAGGATGGCCCTCGCCCCAAATCAAACTGCAAAAAGCCCTGGCGTTAATGCCTGTTCCCCTGGCGCATGCGCGAGCCCATAACTTAGCCTTTGGCTACGGTCTGGGCTTCCCAGTGGTCACCCCGGGTGAAAAGCGCAGGCTCTGTCCTTGTCCCCCAGGCCGGCCGCATAAAAGGAAAAGGCCCTTACTCTGAAGCACCTGTACTCTGTTGTGATATAATGGGAACTCTGATGGGCCCAGGCGCACTCCGAAATGACAAGGGCTGACGGTGGGTACAGCGGGAGAGGTGAAGCCGCTGCGCCCGGGGTGGGAGACAGATGTAGGGAAAGGGGACAGTGCGAAGCAAACACTCCAACCTTTGGGTCCCAAGGGAGATCCCCAGCTCTCCAACTCAGCAGGGAGGCACCAGGTGCCTTAGCGCCGAGAGCCGGGTGGTCCACAAAGGAAAGCAGAAGGACTGGGGCTAGGGAGCGAGCTGACTTCGTAGGGCAGCCCGAGGGAGGAGGGTTAGGACTCCGCATCGGGACTACAGCCCGGGAATGCAAAAAAGCTGTCTGCTGCAGTGAATAGCTGGAAACCCGCTCGCCTGCGGCTGAGTAACCACCCCACAGGTTTTGAGGGCCGTTCTGGGGTCCTCCTCAAATGTTAATACTGCACATCGCCCCCTCCCCTTCAGCATGCCACTCCCATTCCCTCCCCCGCCCTCCGGTGTACGAGCAGCCGCTATCCCTCTCCGGCCGGAGCGGCCCCTTCCCCACCCTCCCTCCTTCACCCTATGCAAGGGTTCCCAAGACAGTGGGTACCAGGTGGTTTCCCACCTCATCCCTTACCCCAGAGTGGTTCCCTCTCCTGCTCCCGCTCGCGAGTGTAGCCTAGAACGCTCAGTCCAGAAGCGGCTGCGCTCCCGTCCCAACCATGGTCGATAACCCCTGCCTTCCTCGGCCGCGGCAGCAGCGCCATCCCGGAGCCCTGCATTCTCGCTCTTCTCCCTCCTAGCCCTGCTCAGGGCCGGCCCACGCCTGAAGACTGCAGACTCGCGGCCACAGACGGAATGCACGCGGGGCCGCGCGGCCCTTTGTTCGTGTGTGTGCGTTGCCAGACTCCATTCCCTACTCCCCAGACTCGTTTTCACAGCCGCCCCTGCCTCTGCATCCAGTGGCCACAGTACACCCAATCGCTGGGCAACAGGTATGCTCGGGCGCCTCCAGCTTTCCCCCGAATTAGTTGGTATTTGGCGGCCGACGCCAAACTTTCGGCTCGCGCACTGAGCCTCCGGCCCGGGCCACCGGGCCTCGCCTCCTCTCGTGTCCCCATCTGGCAGCGCTCACCGTAGCATCCTGCCCCGCATAATGGCTGATAACCCGGGAGCCTCCGGGGTGCCGGCGGGTGAACTCGCTTATGTTATACACCTTCCGTTCGATCACCAGCCATCGCTCCTTTTCGCGCCCGGAGCGCTGTGCCACTTCGTCCCATGTGAAGTAGCGCAGGGTCTGCCCCTGGGCCGGGGTCTCGGGGGCCATCGGGGCCTGGCGAGGTGCTGCGCCGGCTGGGGAGGAGCGACCAGGCGCGCGCTCGGGATCCGCGGATAGCGCGCGGCGGCCTCGCGTGCTCGGATATCCGGCCTGCTGGCGCGCCCCCCGGAGCCAGCCAGCGGCGTGCGCGGCTTTCCGCACCCGCACCCACGACCGCCGGGCCTCTCTGCGCGCGCTCTTATTGGTCAAGCCGCATGGCGCAGAGAGCCCCCGCCTTGCAGAGAGGGCCGGCGGTAGCAGGCTAGTGGCGGGCGCAGACGCACGCCCCCTCGCGGGACCGGTACCAGGATCGACCCTGGATCCCACTTCCCCGACTCGCAGTTTTTCACTACCAGGCGCCACAGGCGGGATAACGGTTCCGGTGGACTCGCGAGGTACTGGGCCAGTTCGCTGGGGATGGCCGCTCCAAGTGCATGGGCTGCCCTTGCGGCTTGAGGGCAGGAGTTGCTCTGCGTGCGGCAGGGGAGGTTGGGGGGCAGTGGGGCGTGGCGGGGCTGCGAGCGAGGCCGTCAGTCTCGCGGGGTTAGGGAGCGTGGGGGGTGGGGGGGAGAGCAGCTGTCTCTGCGACCGAGGTGGTCCCAGCGGAGGAAGCTGTTTAAGATGCATCATCTTTTTATGATCGCATGCTCTAGTGTCCAGACTCTGACCCTCTACAGTGCGCAGCGGTGCCCCTGGTAAACTCCTATCTCCTCGGCATGCTGTTCCACTTGTTGTGTGGCCTAAAGTAACACTCTGAGAACCCCTGGCAATTATCTTGTGAACAGCGTAATTAAAGTTTATTGGGGGGGGGGGGGGGTGTCAATGCTTTACTTTGCTCAATATAATATTAAAAATGCCCTTCAATTTTTGTAACCCTGTTTGCCTTTTTGGTTCATTTTATTTTTGTTCTGTTTTTAAATTAACAGTTCCTTAAAGAAAAGAAGTGGCGGAGGCCTCCAGGAAACCCTGTGTTCAGAGCCTGGGTCTTCAAGCTGAGGCATCTACTCCATTCTGGGGGTACCTCGCTGTACGAGACCTTTTAAATAGAGAGATTTGTGGCTCAGAGTTCTGGGCTTTAACAAAGAGTAAGAAAGAGGCTGGGAGCACCAGTCAAGGAGCTGCTGCAGTATGAAGAGACCCACAGTTTATGTGCTACATTTTCTATAATGCAACAGACATTTTATACAGCACTGACTAGTGCCAGGTAACTGTTCTTAGTGTTTTGCAAATATTAACTCGTTTAATTTTCATAGCAACCCTATGAGGTAGAAACTATTGTTAACCTCATTTACAGATGGTGACACTGAGCCACTGAGATGTCATTTTGTCACATAGCTAGTAAGTGGCAGACTGAAACCAGCTTGAGCTCTGAACTCCTACACTCTGCTGTGTCTCCTCTGATTACACTACTGTGGGGACGGACACTCGGGTGGGATTCTGCAGACAAGGGAAAGGAGTTTTATCCCATGCGCTGAACTAAGTCTGAGTGCTAAAGACCAGACCAGGAGAAACATGGCAAGATTTCTGGTAGAAAATGACCTTAATGCATTCAATCCAAATCCCTCATTTTATAGATAAGAAACTTGAAGTTCGGAATGGGGAAGGGACTTCCCCACATGAGGAAATGCGGGGAACCTGGCCTCCAGTTAAGAGGCCAGGTTGCTGTACCTTGCTCAGGAAAGATGGTTCAAGCACAGCTGCTCCTTTGTACAGCCAACTTTCCTTAAATAAATAAATAAATAAATTACCAACCTTGCCCAGCAACTCAGCAGTGTGTAACGAACTATAAAATTATTTGTACTCTTTGATCAAGTAATTTCACTACTGGGAAAATGGGGCGGGAGACTGCAAAGATGTTTATAGCAAATTTAATAGCAAAAACTGGAAACGACTCTAAGTCCTGACAATAAGAAAATCATCAAGCTCACTGGGAGATATTAGCACACTGAGGACTTGTAGAGGGATGGAAAATAACCAGAATATGAACTAGATCGGTAGGTAGGAAATACTTTGCAGTGAAAAAAGCAGAACTCAAATGGATCAATGATAGGTAGTAACAGAAGAGTCTGCCATGATGAGAACATTTCATAGTTGAACATTCTTAAGCTCATTTTTCTGATTTTGCTTAATTTCATTAAAGAAAAAAAAAGTCCTTGGTTAAACCATTATTCCTGTAATGAAGGTATTACTTATACTTCTAGTGGGAATGTAAATGGACTAAACTTTCTGGAAAAATAGTTTGGCAACTTCATTTAGAACCTTAAAAATGTTTCAAATAATTTCATGTATAGAGATGTAGTCCAAAGAGATCCTTTGGAAAAATATTTAGAAAATATTCATTGAAGCAGCATTTATAATAGCAAAAAAAAGGGGGGGCCAACTACCCATCATTGGAATATTATGCAGACATTAAGAATAATGTTTTTAAAGAATAAAATTTTAATGGCTAAGGAGACAATCACTCTATAGAAAAAGACTAGATGGTAATAGTAATAGTGATTATTTCTGGATGGGTGAAGCAAAGTAATTTATACTTTCTGTAGCACTTTCTGAATTTTATATAATGAGTATGTATTACTTTTACAATCAGAAAAAAAGTTTATTTTTAGAAAATCACACCACTTGGAGGATGATTCTATGATTAAACTCACCTACCTGAAACCATTAAGCATTTCATTCAACATTTGTCGACTGTCTGCCCTTTGTTAGATATTTCGAGAGAAGCTCAAGTACAAAATATAATACTGTATAGATCATATTTAGCATAAGTCCACTGAGAAGGACAGATAAATCACTGATTATAGGTCAATAAAATAGAGGCAAATTACTTCTCTTTCCATTATGCAACGTTTGAACCATTTGTGTGACTTGACTTTGCAAGTGTCCTCATAGCAGTGTCGCGTATATTAGCTACCTCCCTATCTCAATTGTAACCTGAGGCAGAGACTATAGATTCTGTTCAGTTCTACCTGATACATAGAGTAACCTAGTTTGAGGTTCTGTGTAAAATCAATAAATTTGTTGGACTGATGGTTTCAACCTGAAAAAATACAGGTCACTAAGCAAATGTCCCTATCTTCCTACACAATGGTTATGCAAATTATAAACAAACCATTTCCTGGCCTGAGTGAAGGGACCAAATGAATAAAACCTTTGCCTCCTGGGTTCTGTTGATCCTTATCGCAGAAATTAATCGCATGCTTAATGCCAGGATGAGACCTGCGAATACTCCTAATTTTTGTGGCTAAATTTACTAAGGGAAGAGAGAAATCAGTTTAAGACCTTAATGCCAATTCCAATTAAACCCTATTTAAGTAATATAATTGCTGAAGACCATTGGAATAATCAGATCTGAGTTCACATTTTAATCTGTTTTGACAAGGGACATAATAGTCAAAGGACATGATCCTTTACAAAGTCAACAGGTATAGCAGGAAGAATAGAAGTTGTGCTGAGCCCCTGCTGCAGTCTCCCCTCCATGGACAGCCCCTCAGACCACTAAAGATCAAAGCCATTTTCCTAATATATATCTTTCTGTGAACTTAGGTACTCCATGGCAGGGGTCCCAACTCCTGGGCCAAGGACTGGTGCCTGTCTGGCCTGTTAGGAACCGGGCCCCGAGGAAGCTTTCCTGATCTCTGCCTCCCCGCTACTGGGTCCTCAGTAGAAAAACCAGCCCCTGGTGCCAGAAAGGTTGGGGACTGATGTTTTATGGGGATGAAGTGAACACAATGCTTGGCACACAGTAGGCAGTAATAAAGTTAAATGACTCAGTGTTAAGTCTTTGTTTTAAGAAAAGTCGTCTATAGTAGTTCTCTAGGTTAATGTCAAGTAACATTTTTACAAAATAATTTATAATGAAAAGTGCTTAAGTGAAAGAAAGGATCTCACAATCACACTTGTGTTAGAGGCAAAGGAAGAACTAGAAATAGATTTTTTTTCACTTCACCATATTCTAGTAACACAGGAGGTCGGGGGTGAGGAGCCGTGGAGGCTGAACTCACGGGATTTCCTTAATGTTGTGCATTGTTTTGTAGACTGCGGACAGATATGTGGAACCCTCTACAAGGTGACTGGCATCCAAAGACCTGGGGCCACCACACGCAATCAATAGGCCTGGGGCTGGAATTTACACCAGCAACATTTTTGCTTTCAGTTCCTCTCTGCAGTAGTTTCTAAACAGTGGCTTCAAGAAATGGGTTTGATAAAAGGCCACCCTGGCTCAAAGAAGAGGTGGTAGTGCCATTTTGCTGTTGTAGCTTCTCTGGGGCATCTTCTTCCTCCCAGGCCCCTACGCCTGCCTCTATAAAATGAGGGAAGGTAGGCCTGAACAGTGAGCTCCCAGTCTTCAGAGTTCCCCAGGCACTCATGGCAGCTTTGGCTGGTCTTTTCATGTAGCTTTACAGTACAAAGGATCTCTGTTGAAAACAAAACAAAAAGGCTCAGCTTAGAATGCTTCCTTACAATGAGGAGGAGATTGTTGACTTTACCTTGCAAGCCATCGTTTACATATACCCTAATATCTCTTTCTGTGTTTTTGGACATTTGTTTAGAAGTTTTTGCTTGTATAAAATTGCAGTGATGAACTTTTTTTTTTTTTTTTTTTTTTGCCCAGAATCAAAATTGTATTGAAAAACTGATACCAAAATAGACGATCACTGTTGTATACTTACAAAATTAAATGTAATTACATTATCTTGGTAGAGTAACTAGAATTACTGAAGTGATAAGGTTCTCTGGGATATAACACAAATTTAGGAAGTTGTGTGGATTATTAGTTTAACAATAATTTAACAATGGATCAAATACATTGCCAATGGATCAAATACATTGTTAAATGGATCATTTAACAATGTATTTGAACAATAAAATTAGTTTTATTGTTCAAATACATTTGTCTCCACCTTCCTGCCACCACTTTCCCCTGCCCCATCCACCCCCAGCTCCCACCCTCAGTCCTTCCCCACTTTGGCTTTGTCCATGGGTCCTTTATACATGTTTCTTGATTTGACCCTTCTTCATTTCCCTGTTACCCCCCGGCTTGACTTCTAAATGAACACCCTTCCATGAATCCAGCCTTTCCTCCTGTCTGCTGGAACAGCACCAGAACAACCTGCTCAAAGAAACACCACCTGCACACGGCTGAAACCTGTGATCTTGTAGCAACCTGGACATTTTACAGCCATAAAATAAGAATTTTGACTTTGAACTGGCCGTTTCTTTTTATGTTGTGGGGTTTTTTTTTTGTTTGTTTTTTCCTTTTCCAAGGAGGAATATGGTAAATCTCTAGCCAAAGGCATGTCGCTCCTTTTGCAAGTCCAGTCCCTCAAGATCTCTGAGACAACATCCCTGGCAAGCAGCACAGTGATCTGCAGTGATGAACTAAAAAAAAAACATTAGTTTATAGTTGGACATTTTCTAAGGATAAGTTCTAAATATATCACTAGCCGATCAAATGATAAGAACATTTAGGCTTTTGTTATTTGTTGCCAAATTGCTTGTCAGCAAAGTTTATTTATTGAGCACTTACTGTGTGCTCTTCAGTTTCACCACAGCTGCCTTCACCAGCATGTGAAAGGAATGTCTTTGTGCTGCTCCCTGGCCAGCTGCCTCCCCACCCGTATTATGACCTCCAAACATACAGAAAACCCCGCTGGGTCTGTCCCAGGAGTCTCCCAATGCCCCTGAGTTCTATCCAAATTGCATTACCAAACTGCAATCAATTTCTCTTCTAATGCATTTCATAGTTGGAGAAGGCTCCAACTAAGGGAGTAGATCTTAAATGTTCTCATCATACACACGCAAAAGGTAACTATGTGAGGCGGTGGATATGTTAATTAACCTTATGGTGGTAATCATTTTGGAGTGTGTGCGTGTATACACATATATAAAAATACATAAATCATCACATTGTACACCTTAAACATATACAATGTTATATGTCAAATATGTCAACAAAGCTGCAGAAAATAAGAAAATGAATAACGATTAAAACATGAGCAACAGACTTCAAAAGTCACCTCCCCAAAGAAGATACACAGATGGCAATAAGCAATGAAAAGGTGCTCAACATCATATGTAGTTAGAGAATTGCCAATTAAAACAGCAATGAGCTATCACTACATACCTATTAGGATGGCAGGAATCCAAAACACTGATTATACTAAATGCTGGCAAGGATGCAAGGCAAGAGGAATTGCTGTTCATGGCTGGAGGGAATGCAAAATGGTACAGCCACTTTACATTTTGGCAGTTTCTTATAAAGCTAAACATAGTCTTATCATCCAAGTCAGCAACTGAGCTTCTAGGTATTTACCCAATTGAACTGAAAACTTTTGTCCACATAAAAATCTGCCACTAATGTTTACATTGTTATAACCAAAGTTTGGCTTTCTTTATAAGCACCAAAAACTTGAAGCAACCAAAGTGTTCTTCACAGGTGAATGAACAAATTGGTACATCCAGGCAATGGACACGCTTTTCGGTGCTGAAAAGAAATGACCTATCAAACCACGAAACACATGGGGGAAGCTTGTGTACATATTGCAAAGAGGAAGAAGCTCTTGGGGCTGCTGTAACAGAGCACCATAAACTGGGTGGCTTATAAATAGCCAAAATCTATTTCTCATAGTTCTGGAGGCTGGGAAGTCCAAGCTCAAGGCACTGACAGAGTGGGTGTCTGATGAGATGGTCTACTTCCTACATGGCTGTTTTTTCCCTTAACCTCACATGTGAGAAAGATCAAGGGATCTCTGTTGGGTCTCTTTTATAAGGACACTAATCCCGTTAATGGGGGCTCCACCCTCATGACTTAATCACCCCCAAAAGCCCATTTCTAAACACCATCGCACTGGGTATTAGATCTCAACATGAATTTTGGGGGGAGACACAAATATTTAGTACATGGTATGCTGTATGATTCCAGTTACATGATATTCTGGAAAAAGCAAAATTGTAAAACATAAAGATCAGTTGTCAGGGCTTAGTAGGGAGGGAGGGATGAATAGGAGGAGCATGGGGCATTTTTTTTAGGGCAGTGGAGCTATTCTGTATGACACTGCAATGGTAGATGCATGTCATCATACATTTGTCAAAACCCATAGAGTGAACCCTAATGTGAACTATAGACTTTGGGTAGTATTGATGTGTCAATGTAGGTTCATCAGTTATAACAAATTTACCACTGGTAGGGGGATGTCGATGGTGAGGAGGCTGTGTGGTCTGCTTGTAGCAACCTTCTGCGCAATTTCACTGAGTGAAAGAGACCTTAAAAATCAAACACCATCTGTTCAGTGAGATGTAATCCCACCTTGAGTCACGGTGCTAGATGGTCTCTGCCATACCCACTTTCCAAACCCAGGACTTTAAGCAAGTCATGGGACCACTCTAGGGCTTGATAGATTTTCTAAGAAAAAAGAAGGTATGTTATATCAGTGGTTCTTGTGCTTTTGAGTTTTTCAGGAAGAAATAAATTAAAAATGAAAATTAGTATAGTGTTGTCAACTTTTCACTTTGCCAAATAAAAATATTTTTAAAACTCCACCATATACTGTCAATATTTCATTATATTAAAAAAACATTTAGTACAAAAAATCAGGCCCTAACATCAATATTTATTATTTAAAAAAATTGAGAGAAAGACATTGATTTGTTGTTCCACTTCTTTATGCATTCATTGGTTGATTCTGGTATGTGCCCTGACTGGAATCAAACCTGCAATCTTGGCATAGCAGGACAATGCTGAAACAAACTGAGCTACCTGGCCAGGGCTAAAATTAGGCCATAATTTTTCAATAAAAGGCATTTTTTTTCCCAATGGAATACCCTTATTTTTATGAAAAACTACATTTTCCTTTATTTTCCTACTTTTTCCATTAACTGCTGAAAACTCTTATCATATTTGGTACCAGTTTGTGGATCAGGTCTTGTGCTGGCTAAATAATATTTTCCAACCCCAACATTCTGAGACTTTATGCTTAAGCAGTTTTTGTGTTGCATGAAGCTCCACAGTAGATATTGTTAGTGCTGGTCCTAAGCAAAACAGTGAAGAATAAATGTCAGTGCAGAAGCCTGTGCCATATATGCTAGGAGAAGTATTGCTAATACTAAAAACCACCCTATGGGACAGGTATTATAGGTGACAAAACTGCGGCTTGGGAAGATTAAGTAGCCTGCCCAGAGCCATACTGTAGCAGGCATGAAGGCAATGCCAGGACACGTGACTTCAAAGTCCCTGTTTCTGTCCTAAGATTCCGGTCTTCCTCCTAGCACTCTCTTTCTTCTGGCTCCTTCCCCTACTCCACCCTGCGGATTACCTGAAATCCCTCTTCAGGCCTTAGCTGATTCTTTCGGGCCTGGTAACTTGATCCGAGGAGGGAGTGCTTGTCCGAGTTCTTCCTCACAAATGTGAGTTTACAGCTTGAGAAGGCATTACATTTCCATTACAGCAAGCCGTAAGCTCTAAACTCAGTCGTTTTCAGCAATCTGTCCACCGAAACTGGTCTGCAAAAAGAGAAATGGAGGAAGAACCCTGGCAGCCTTCGAGTCCCTGGATCCACTGCTCCCCAGGGCCATTCGTACCACCTTTCTGTGGTTAGATTGTTCCATTTTTCCAAGAGTTTAGTGAGGCAGTAAATCCCTCCTTTCTCCTGGGCCAGCACCAGCTTTTATCACATTCCATCAGCAGAGCTTAGATCCCAATACTGTTGTTCTTTTTCCCCCCGGGAGGAGCCAGCAGTGTATTCCAGTGGACAGAATGTGGACTTCAGAGGAAGATTCTTGACCAGATGTGGACAATAGAGTTCTTCATGGTGTCAGAGCTTTAGAAACTGTCAGAAGCACTTCTATTAAGCCACCACAGAGGGGACAAGAGACTGAGCTGTTGTCCCAAACACCAGGCAGTACAGTTGGGCTGTTATTGAGCCAGAGGATAAAGCTCTTAGGTCTACTTGAGGAAGGAAAACAACAAACCTGTATGTTTCTTTTCAGTTCAGTCACTTTTGAAGTAATAACAAAAAGTGTAATTTATGAATAGAGACTCTCTTCTCCACCAGTCATAGTTTCTAATTTTATCATTTTTACAATTGCATTTACTTTTTAAGAGCATGTTCTGAGCATTCACATGGTTCAAAATGCAAAAGGCCAGAACAGGAATTCTTCCTCTCATCCACGCCACTGCCACTGACCCGGTTCCTCCTACCCTCCAGGCAGCCAGCACAGAAGTCTTCCAGCAATACTCTCTGCGTGTTTACATTGGCTTTTGCTGCCTGACAAGTCCCTCCACGACTTAGTGGCTTAAAACAACAAGCTTTGTATTTGCTCAAGATCCTAGGGGCTAGATAGGCAGTTTTTGTCCGAGCTTGTTCGAGCTTGTCGAGTGGTTTGGATGGTCCAGAATGGCCTTAGTCACAAGTCTGGCAATTGACAGGATCTTTGGACTCGGAAGTCTTCATGTATCTGGAATTTGGCTCTGTGTCAGCTGGTGTGACAACCACATACCACCCATTGTGTGCAGGCCAGCCTGGCCTCACTCATGGGATAACAAGACTCTCCAGAAGTGAGAGATGGGGCGCTCCAATGCGCAGACACTTTTCAAGTTTCTGCTTTCATCACATTTGCTAACGAACCTTTGGCCAAAGCAAATTAAATCAAAGCCAATGGCCAAGTCCAGTTCCAAGGAGTCTGGAAAAATAGACTTCCCTTCTTGACGGAAAGAGCTGTAGAGTCACATTGCAAAAGGGCACACACACAAGGATGAGAAGAATTTGGGCTGTTGTTTTGCAGTCTACCATAGCATATGTTTGTGAATATGAATGTACAGATGTGTGTGTATGTGTACTTTTTCCTATTTTTACACAAATGGTAGTAAAATTTTTACGGCTTTTTGTAAATACTTAAAACCTGTTTTACAAACCTTGAGGTCTATCAGAACATAAAAGTTTATGTTTTTAGAAAGTAAAAACAGATTGCTGTCAAACAATTTGACAAAAAAGTTCTTACCTCTTTATGTCAGAGTAGGAAAATCAAATGGTGGGATCTCTGATCACCTAGGAGAACAGGACTGGCTTTAGTTTTGGCTGGTACTTTTGCCTGAGGTGAATCATCAGCTAGTCAAGATCCTGGTATAGTTCTCTCAGGTTGGAACATCAGCTCACAGAAGTACCCACACAATATCCAAATAATCAAAGTACTTTTTGGACCAAGGATTTTCTTCATAGTCTTCATTTAATTAGAGCTGATTCCCCTGTTAAAAGAAGACTCACTTTTTAGTCATCTCTTATCTGGGAGGAGTCTTGTATTG